TTACTCAACTCTATACTCGACCTGATGGAAAACTTTTTTATGAACCCAGTAGAAACGAATCTGTCAGTCACTGATACCATAGTTGACATGGCGATATGCGGCTATATGAGCATTGAGGGCTGGCTTGCGCGAAATCCCAAGAGCTACACCTACGCTGGGGACGAGCAACAGCCGGAACCTGAAAAGGGGGTTGAAACCGAATCACAGCAAGATGGAGAAGGCGAGGAAGAGACGGAGACTGAAACTGGGACTGAGAAGGGAGAAGACGCAGAAACTGAACCTGGCAATAAGTCACTGGCTGACGAGCTTGGTTCGCAAGACGGCGATTCCTCGGATGGCGGCTTCTCGACATTCACAGATGACACGGAGGCAGAGAGGCTGGAGTCAATGGAAAAGTGCAGGCGCCGACCAAAATGGACTCAACAATCTCTTCCGCGTATTCTTGTGGTGTTGAAGCGCCTCTGCGACCAAGTCGAGGCTTTCAAGCAGACGGTACCTCGATTTGACGAGCTTCTTCAACAGCGACGAGAAGCTTTCCAGACGGCGAATGCGATCATGGACAACCCCCCAGCCCCAGTTCAGCCTCGCACGCCAGAACGGCCGAGTTCCACTCTTGATGAGGTTATCCGATCGGTGTCTCCGTCACGTCCGACCGGCCTTGAGGGTTTTGCTCAGCGGCTGCTGTCAGAACTCTCAACTCCTAGCCGCTCTGTAACGCCCAGAGGCCGCAAGAATAGCACTCGAACGTCCGGTGCATCGACACCTGGCTACAGCGTGTCGGATCTGCTCTCTCCCAGCCCTTTCCCCAATACTTCGAAGCCTCTGCCTGACCCCACCAGGAACGCTCTTAACCGGAGCTTGTCACCGTCAAGTGCTCAGAGCGGAGCCAGCGGGGGGCGAGAAGGGCGGCAAAGCCAAGCAAGCATTCAGCCAGCCGAGTTTACAGCCATGGATCAAAGCATTCTAGCTCGACGGGTAGCCTTGCCGGGCGAGCAAGTCAAGCTGATGCCTTTGGACTTGGAGAGAAAGCCGGTGCATGATGCTCCTGAGTCTTTGTTCTCCGGAGATGAACTGGCCAGTCTAGATGGGGACGATAGCAGTGCGGACCGGAGCGAAGTTGCCACCGAGCCGACTGTTACGACGGAAACGACAGACAATGCCGAGCCAACCAGCCCGACTGGTGATGAAAACATGGTTTCGGTGTCGCATGTCATTACTAACGTCCTGATATACCAGTCGTTCCTTTTGGAGCTAACCAGCTTGATGCAAGTTCGGGCCGGTCTGTTCAACGAGGTACGCTTTGTGTGATTGGATGCGGAGTTGGAGATGCCATCACTTGGCGGAGGATTACATTTCCCGAAGAATGCAAGAACAAGAGTTTCTGCGGGAAGTTATTCGGGGTTGCATGCCTTCTCCGTCCTCCGCGGCATCGGAGCCGGATGGATGGAGGGCGTCGCTATAGTAGGATCAAGGATCAAGGAACATTGCATATTGTATAAAGCTGCATAGTGCGAGAAGAAAACTGCAATTTTAGAGAATCGCATGACGAGAGTGGGCAGCCGGGAAACTATGTGCGTGAAAAAGAGAGCTTGTTTATCTGTCTCCCAATTGCCGCGTGATCCTTCGTACACAGTATCCTGGTCATTTATGGATAGCAAGAGGAGGGCAATTCACCCGACGGGTTTATTGCAGACGATTTTATGACTGACGTGTAAGTGCCTTGTGGCACGTATGTAGTATGTATGTACGTACGTAGAGAAGAGAGCAGATGCTGCAAATGGAACTGGCCTTGGAAAGAGTCATAAAGAAGTCAGGTGAAGAAAACACGTTGATGACTTTTTGTTTATTGCTACAAGTACGAATTGAAGTGAAACTTGTTGGCCAAACCGCACAACATGGAGGCAGCGAGGTCTTTTATTTAAAATATGCGAGAGTCTATCAAGCATATCTGATCAACATGGAGAGTTTATGCGTCCAGTACTAGAAAGACGAGCAAAGAGATATATACAGACTACGTCGAGACACCCGAGGTGCTCAAGGGGAATTTCGTCAATAACACATGGAGAGTGTATAAGCACGACGGTGCTGGTGTGAGCAAATTCCTGGACTGGCATAAGAATACGACTTACCGTTCAAAGAGCTCCCTTTTTCCTGTAATGCTTCAAAGATTTTATTGGGTATGATATGACTGAGACGAGGCTTATAATTAAGTCGTGAGAGTAAAGGTGTCTTGACAAAGACATACCGAGTACGTGTAGATATGAGGCAAATGGACTTTGCACGAATTGGGTATCGTGCGGCTCTGCGCGGCGTTTATATACGTCTTCAATGTACTCATCCCAGATTTAGCCGGCTGTTTAGATTGTATTTTTTGCGAATACGTATTGCGCATTCCAGATTGCCTTTAATTTATACGTGCTGAAATCTTGTACCCTACTTGCAGAAAGTTGCATGCGTCAATAGCTTATCATAGGAGTCGTCTCTAGAAACTTGAAGATGCAGAGAAAGGTAACGTGTCTGCACATCGACGCTCATTGGCTCTGAAATAGAGTAACGCAAGTGAGCTTTCAGCTACAGCCTCGTAGATGTGTTGAATGTTCAGAGTTATAATCAGCGAGCATGCACGAGATCCGTCTAGAATTACGGAGTTTACGATTAAGAATCACGGTTCAACCTCAGCGACTGCTTCGTCAGTAAGATTATGCTGTCTTGACCTTCCGTAGGAGAGAGCTCTCAGCTAGGCTAGCTTTATATAGAGAGATGACGAAAGTGAGCAGTGTTGTTTGAGTAATGATGCGGCGAGTTTGACCTCACGATGGACTACTGTTACTGAAAGATGGTACATAATTCACTAGCAGTACTTGAGCTATTTCACAATGCTGTCTGATATCACATCGCCATGCTCACAAGACGGTCGAAGCTCTCGTATCAGCCACGGCACGGGCTTAGATGGGGCTACCCGCTGTGGATTCTAAGGAAACAATAAGTGTGCATAATAGTAAGACGTGGCTGCTAAAGATAGACACCTGCTGTGCGGTATATCGTGCCATGCGAGTGGGTTTCTCGGCAGTAGCATGAAGCATATTCTATATTTGCATAGATCGAGGCTTGTCACTGTATACGTTTACACACGCTTTCGTCAGACCACTTGAGTTTTAAAAATTGAGATATACGATGACTATTCAGGCTTGCCTTACAAAGGCCGAAAATAAGCAAAGCGAGAAAGTCGGTCACGGCGAGAGCGAGACACGGGCTGAGACAGAGACGCAGGCACGGCAGGCAGAAATTGAGACGGGACAAGACGAGACGCTGCTGTTCTGGAGCAAGACAGGGCGCAAGGCAGAGACAAGCAAACGTCAGAACTCACGTCTAGTGGTACTTGCCATGAGCAAAGACTAGTGAGAGCATTACATAAAACAGCTTTTGCCACCAATGGCAAACAAGGACAAAGGGTAAAGTAAGGGAGCGAGGGCAATATAACATAGCCGGGTGCGTTAACCCATCACCACGATATTGGGTATGTAAGGGAGTTTTTGTTAGCTTGACTGGATGGCCCGGATCACCAGTTCCGGGAGTTTGATGTCTGGCATAACAGGATTTCATTTCCAGGGACTGGGCTAAGTTATAAGCCAAGTTGCCAGGTGGCTTGATCCCCTGGTGCTGGTGGCGTTGATGGCGTGCGTTGTTAATGCATACACGTACCCTGCCATCCAGAAACCATCGTGTCTGGTCAAATGACGCTGTGTCACACTCGCAGCTCAGCTTTGCCAACTCCAAAGCGCAGAGCATTGAATGACGGCAACAAATAATCCTCTGCACTTCAACCTGGCGATTTCTTCCTGCACTCCAGAAAATCAGGCCTCCAGTTCCCCTCTTTCCGTACCTGAAAAAGAAAAAAACCAAGACGCCATATCCGTCCGCGGGGGGCTAACAAGTGCATTGTATCCATCTTTAGCCGATACAAAAAAAAATGGCCCCAGACTTTCCCAGCAAAGGCCTAGCCCGCAATAAATCAGTAGTTGTAGCAAATAAACCGCTGCGAGCTGCTCTTTTGGACTGGAGCTATTGGGCACGTCAGCTTATGGGTTGCCTCGATCCAGCCAATCAGCGCGCCTGGCCGTGCCTCGTTGGTCGGATCCTCTGCGTTCTAGACGTGGCTGAAGGAGGTCCGTTTAGCTCAGTTTGGCATATTAAACCGGAAAAGCGTCTCCACGGCCGGCGCTTTTACACGAGAAAGGGAAGTACAGGGCGAGACGAAAGAAAAAGGGTCTGGTCTGGTCGCATGATGGGATGGGCACAGTTCCCAAAGGGGCTCTAGGCTTCAATTTAGAGTTATGTTTTAGCCAGTTTTCCAAAGAGGCCGCTGCTACCTGGAGCAGAAGAGGGCGGGGGATGTATAAGCCAGTTACTACTAGTAGCACTACTCAGTCTTGAGTCTTTTTTTTTTCATCTTGTTTAATTTGCCTCTTCTGTGGTGTCCTTTCACATTGCCAAAATGCAATGGTTGAATTAGATGGCCCAGCAGGCTAAGCAGGAGAGCCGTCTTGGCGTCTGGTCTTTTTCACGACGGGCCAGGCTCTTCTAGCCTCGAGGCGATGCCGGGGAAATTCCTTTCTTTATAATACGAGCAGGATCCGTTTGCTTTTTTGGCGCTGCGCTAATACGATTTGCTTCCAAGACAGCCTAATCTCATTTATTTGCTGCCCTACTTTGGGACAGGGAAGAGTAACGTATCGCTCTAGCTCCGTCGTTTCGCGATTTTATCTGGCAGCCCCCCCTGGTCCCCTCGTGAGCGCTTTTGTCTTGTGATTCTCTATTCTTTTTTTTTCTTTCTGTGTTGTCTATACTCTTTTTTATTTCCACTCGTTTAAGACTTTTCACTCTTTCAGCTTGTTTGAATTGGAGAGTTGCGTTGGATCGTGTATCTAGAGCGGCGACAAGTAAACGAAGTAGAACCACGGCAAAGAAGAGACAGCATCTTGTCTTACAAAAAAAAAAAGATGTATCTCAGCGAAAAGGCAGACTCGTTCTCGCCGCTGCGCCAGATCCTCCACCACGTCTCGTCCCAGCGCCGATATCGAAACTATGCCGCCGCCGGCATCGCCCTGATCCTGCTGTCCATGGTCTGGCTGAGCGGCAACCTGACCGGCAGCAACTCCAGCCAGCGATGGCTCGACGAGGCGGCCAGCAAGCGGGTGCCGCAGTGGCCGACCAAGGTCACCGGCACGAATCACACCCACCTGGTGACGCCGAATATCTGGCAGATTGTGCTTCCCAAGACGCAGCCGTATCCGGGCGACCCCGAGCACGTCCATGTGGACCCCAGACAGCTGGAGCATGCGGCCTCTTGGATTGCGACGAATCCCGGCTACCAGTAGTAAGCAGCACAACAACTCTGCTTTGCGTGTAATGGAAGAAATTCATGGCAGTTGCTAATTCGTTCTTTCAAAACAGCTCACTGGTCGGCCACAACGACGGCAACGAGTTCGTCAAGAGCCACTTCAGCCACAACCCCAAGATCGCCGAAATCTACCACAACCTCACCAACGTGGGCATGAAGTCCGACATGCTGCGCTACCTCCTCCTCGACGTCTTTGGCGGCGTCTACACCGACACCGACACCGTTGCCATCCGGCCCATTGACGCCTGGATCCCCGAAGAGTTCCGCGGCAAGGCCCGGCTGGTCGTGGGCATCGAGTTTGATCGCCGCGATGGCGGGCCCTGGGCCGACATCCCGCACTGGCTGCAGTTCTGCCAGTGGACCATTGCCGCGGCCCCGGGCCACCCCGTCTTCAAGAAGATGATTGACCGCATCATCTACTCGGTGGAGGACCTGTCCATCATCTACGGCGCGCCCGTCAACAAGCTGAAGCCGGGCAGCTTCGAGGTCATGAACTCGACGGGGCCAGCGGCCTGGACCGATGTGGTGTTTGAGCAGCTGCAAGAGTACAATCCCATTTTGAACGATACGCAGGATCTCTCCTTTATGGAGGAGCCGACGCTTATTGGGGATATCTTGATTCTGCCGATTGACGGGTTTGGCATGGGCCAGGTTCACTCGGCCAGTACGAATGACGGGTCTATTCCAAAGGGTGCTATGATGAAGCATTTATTTACGGGATCTTGGAGAGACGAAGAAGAGTGATTTTATGAGAAGTTTTTTTTTCTTTTCCTTTTCTTCTTTTCTGAGTATATATATGAGAGCGTTTCACTTTTGGTTATTATGAGGGGAGTATTTGGGTAAGATACGCATATACCTGTACAAGGCGGTTGTTATTTATGATTTGTCTATGAGGCTTTGACAGGAGCATATGGTCTTTGGGCTTATGTGGTCTTGGAGCGATTTTGGGTATTTTCTTCACGTGTACATATTAGAGACTCAATGAAGCTCTTTTTATCTTGTCGAAGAAATTTGTGCTATTCTCAGTTTATTTATTGGATCAACTTGACTCAAACACCATACAGCTATACGCATTTTGTCACTGTACATGTAGATATTAGCGCTATAGCTCAACAGTTGCGTCACAGAACCGGCAAAGATCAGCAAGATTCCTTCTCTATATGGTAACGGGAAATGCTACCTTGCAAGATGCCTGGGCATATTTCCGCAAACTGGCTAAATGATCGGACTATGGCTAAAAATAAGCTTTTGTATGGAGTAACCTACAAGATCTGGGGTCGTACAAAGTACAGCGTCGATTGGCGATTGCACATCTATGTATCACATCTTTGCGCCGCGATAAGCCAAACGTGTTTGCAAGTCGCAAGTATGTAATTATTTCAAACTTTATGGTACCCATAACACAGCTAGTGCTTGATTCCTTACTTCCACTTATGATACACTATTGAGTAAAATACACAAGTATCAGTTGAATTCTACACGCATCTCTTTCTAAGATGCCTTTTCAGACTAATTTGGCATTGCAATCGTAGTTTGGGCTGCTTATATGATGCCCTCGGTCAACTACCGATCGCCGCACTTAGAAGGAATCTTGGGCTAACCAACGTCTGCAATGAGAAAAAGGTCTCGTTCCTCAAAAGGCAGAAAATTGACAGCCTTGATACCTAGGTACCAAATCACAGCTACAATTCCTTCGCCAAGAAGCTATTCCCAGATGGACAGCTCGGTATGTCATCGGCCCAAGCTTGAGATAGTCTACAACAAAAAATCCATATGGCGAAGCATAACTAACGTGCCTAGATGCCACGACCCACTCTCCGTACATGAACGGGCCGTATTACCGCTCCAATGGCATCGAAGTATTCTGTACAAGGATCTCCTGAGGAGCACCACACAAACACAATGTGGATTTCATGCTCGTGCGAAAGAAGAGAGATGTTCGACGCAATACGTGTAGATTGGACTATGTACAAGAAGAAAAAGCCTCGTTAGACGTAATGAGATCTTGGACTCTGCAGAAGCTAGATGGAATGAGACGATGAGCAAAAGCAGCTTCTGAGAGACAGCTTGCATATATCTTACTCTTCTTTGCTACATCATACATGGAAGGTATAGATTTAGTCGTCTGGCTGATGATGCTCGAGCTTTTACTCACTTTACACCCAGTAAACACAGCACCAGAGTATATATCGGCAGGTCAAAAATATCATTTCCATCAGTAAATACACTCTTCGTTTTGAATGCTTCATCACACGTGCCACTAATCGTACTATCGACCACAGCAACTGTCAAAAGACATGTCGCCTATTATCAAGCTCTATATGACAGGTTGACCAACATCAAAGGTAGAAATCTTTCGGTGATATACCAAACCTTTGAACTTGTCTCTATAAGCAACGCAATATCGACAATTCTTTTTCCATGATGAATACCAAGACCACTATTCACCCTACTAAAATAAACATCAATTTATTTGATAGATTTCAAGTAAAGCCTTTCGTCTAGGCTTGACCGCTGTTTCATGACCAGGTATTACAAGTTTTTACATCGTGACTGGGCAATTTAATCGCAGCCTGCATGACCGTGAAGTAGCGGGCATTAGAAGATTGAAGCTTTCTTCACTCAAGTAATGTACATTGGAACATGAATATCGAACGACTTACTCTGAAACATATCACAGCAAAAACTTGGAGGCTGCAATTCACCTACATATAAGCACCAAATCACAAGCAGCACCTCCATCCATAGTTTCTCAGGTAGCTATACTAGCTTCTCCCCAATTCCACGCCCAGCTCTCCTTCCCATTTCCCCAAACCTAGCTCCAAAGTCCCAGCTCATCCACAACATAGCTCGAAACATTCCAACATCTTCTCAATCACCGACCAATAAGCCAATATTCTCGGCCATACAAACACCTTGTCCATTTTACAACAGCCTAAGACCTATTCCAGGAGCCATTTTCGGCGAGACTGGCCAAAATGTGATCTCGTGACCCTTTTCTCATCTCCTGGAATCATGCCCAGCAGAGGGTGAGCGTATCACTCCCCATCACCGCTAGTTACATGTATACGTTACGGATATTGTGGTAGCATTCATACTAGAGTAGTAGTACTTTGGTAAATTACTACAGACAAAGCATCCTGTCTCTCGGATTTGGCTTCCGAGAATCTGGCTTCGGGCAATCTGCGTCCAATGATCCCAGTTATCAAGCAACAAAGTCTTCATATCGGCTTATTTACGGAGTCGAAGCCGCGTGATACCATGAAACTCATTCTCTTCTCATCATATCCAGCTCTCACCGCCCGAATGCATGAACTTCGATGTCAACCGAGGTTTCGTTCTGCTCACCCACCGCGATATATACCTCTTCATCAACTTCCGGCCCAAAGGAAAAACGAGAAATGCCAAAAAAAAACCGAATCTTCGGTTCCTAATAATCCATCTCCACCGTATAATAGCTTCCTCACTGACCTTTCTTCCACGAATAATACCCCATTTGAATTTCTCTTGTGCCCAAAAATCGTAGCTGGGGCTATATGATATGTAACTGGCAGATTCTCTCGGCCCGACCCCATACGCCCGCAATTTCTGGGCAGTGCTACCGAGAAGAGCCCGAAGGCAGCAGAAAAACACCACTTTTTTCGTGTTTATGCTGACATGTCAGGGGAAGTATTGGGTAATTATTATTTACGATGGGCAAAGATTGGTCAATTCAACACGCGGATATTAAAGGTTGAAGTTGAAGCGTAAATGTGGAGTATTATCCATGTCTTAGCAGCACAAGGCTGATGCCGTATTGAAATCAAGGCTCGTATCTTGGTATAGTCACCGGTCAAGGCATGGGGGTTTCATCGAAATATGACAATTATACGGTCTTTTTCGTGATTGACCTAATTTACTGTTGCTCGGCGAGTTGTTCGCTGTGGAGAGAGCTGGGAGATTCCGCAATTTAGCTCATTCTGGCGAGGCTGACGAGGAGAGCATCGAAAACGGCTGAGCATTCAGACCCGTCCACTGTCTCCAGTGTAGTACTATGATTTTTTGGGTCTAAATTCACATGGCAAAGTCTTAGTATAGTACCTATGTAGTGCCTGATTAGAAGGCCAAGACATGTCACAGATCTGTTCAAAATCGAGCTTGCCAAGCTCTAGGCAATGCATGGCTGTTAGCTAAGACTTGGCGGGGTTTATACGAAGACAGTCTCAAGGCAAGCCAAGGGCGATGAGCTGAGGAATGCAAAGCCTCAAGCAAGACAAAGCCATTGCACTCATTGTTGTAACACGTGCTGTGGCGATGATTTCTCCTCTTTTGACTTGCGTAAGTGTTATGAAATTACGCGTACGTGGACCTATCATTGAGTTTTACATGTAAAGTCGAGATGGATGTAGATCAACAACTGCACTTCATACCGCAAGAACGGTGTTAGTGTGTAAGTTCAGGGCATCCACCACGACCACATGGTAGCCAAGAGTGGATTTTCTCTGGAGCCTTGATCCCTTTGCCCTTTGCCATCTTAAGTCGGGGCAGGGCAGGGCCGATTGTGGTGTCAATCCTTCGCCGGCCAGCCGCCTTGGCCCGTGGGGACTGTGGCGTTTTCCACCGAGAAAAGCCCTTCTTTACGTACAGACGTGATCAAAGCACCGAAAGAGCGAGGCCGGTCAGCGTTTCAGGCCCCCAATCCGACCATTCAAACGCGGTGCCGAAGATCAGACACCTTTTACATCACGCTGCGGTCACTCTGGCGGTATGAATGGCCCGGCCCAGATAGCCCAGCGTGAGCTACGGGCATCGCTTGCGCTTCTCGATCCGGTCAGCTAAAGTAGGCCCTGTTCGCAGCCATACCGCCATGCCGTAGCTTGCCGCTTGCAAGCATGTCCCAAACGGGAGATGAACCGGAGCTGGTGGCTTGGTGTGGCGTTGATTTTTCCTCCGAGCTAGTTCCGCGCGAAGCCTCATGGCTGTGAGCGACAGCCTTGCTCTTGGAACAGTGAACATGTGAAATTGAGGCTGTAACCGACGATCCTAGAGGATCTATCCATTCTCAAGATCTTTGAGGTGACAATGGGCGGGGAAGCGAGATAACCATGCTGCAAGATCCGTTGCTGTAAAGGCAAAATAAAGGCAAATACTGTGTACACCCGTAAATTGAGATTGATCACAATGAATCTGTTGGTCCTGCTTCTTAGCGTACCTAGGCATCCATGGGAGTTGGATGGTACGATATGCCCACGGTAAAAGGAAGCCTCGCCTCTTGATGGGCAGAGACGGCGTAAAAGCAGGGAAAACGAAGGGGTCACAAGATGGCCATTCATTCGCCGTTCCAATCACGAGCTTGTATGGCCACGCGGTTTTACCACTCGGATGCAAGCTTAAAGGCGCGATACAACGTTGTACAAGCATTTTCGCAGACTTGAGCCATATTGAAGCCCACCAGCTTCACGAAAAAGAGTGGGCGAGACACAAAGACTGTACTTTGTTCACACCTGATGATTATTTTTGGCTCTCTCGGTTTTCCGTTTCTTGATGATTAGTGACCGCTTGCTTTCCCCTCTTCAAGCGTTCCTTTTTGATGAAGCTATGTCAGCCACTTACGGAAAGACAGACGGAAGAAGCATCGGAAAACCACAAATGCAAGGCAAGGGAGCAAAAAGGCGGCGGTGGGGAAGCGCCAGAGACTGGGTCATCCGCCTCCAATACAAATCCCCCGAGACTAAGATGCGGTTAGCTGCCCTCTCGTGTCCGCGCGAAGTTTGGAGCTAAATAAGCGGCTGGCGTTTGATGATCTTTCCAGGAAGCATAACCAGGCTTGAATCTCGGGAGGTCCTGGACCGTAAGCCGACGGCCATTTCACGCGCCACATGCAGCAAGTTGGGCATACCGTGCATGAATCAAGCTGCCGCGAGAGGTCAGTGCCAGCCAGCCCCTGGCCTTGCTTTGCAGCAACCCAGGATTAGAGCCTGCGGAGTTATAACTCTATACAGAAGCAATATAGCTGCTGCTGATCCTATTGGCTACTTGGAAGCATGCTGTTTCCCGGGGTTTATTTAGGCGACGCGAGGCACGAAGGAAGCGTTGTCGTCTCGGCTGGTGACTGACATGTTATTGACCCAAAGCCGTTGGGCGAGCTGGTGTTGGTGACGACATGGTCACGTTGGAGCGATCAAAGGCCGTTGCAAAGCAGCTGTTTGCCTGCATTTTGCCCAGCGACGAATTGGCGATCGAGAAGAGGGATATGGGGCATCGTATCTCTTGGCTGCCAGGCACATTCCTCATGGGAGGAGTAGCCGTTCTACAGAAATCTGGAGAGCTGGGGCCGCGGTACGGTGCTGGGCAGACTGTATACCATGCCATGTGCGGCGTGTCCATGCATCAGGTCGACGGCGCTTCTTACATGCTGGAGTGAGCATCTGGGGTTGCATCGGACCATCGCAGTGGAGAAGGAGAGCTGAGTTGGAGGCCAGAGAGCAGGGATGCATCTGTTGCCTGTTTTCCTCATGTCGGGCAGGATTCGTACTTTAGTCCATGGCTGTATGAAGTAGGTACCTGTAGTCCAATCCATGAGTGATCATATACTTGTGCTGTGGATTTGAAGCTAAAGAGAGTCGTTAAACCAGCAGCTTGGAAGCAGCACGAGTGGAGTGCAAGGTGCGTGAAGCTGGTCGAATCACCCCAACGTGGAGTTGCTTTCCTAGTGGTGTGACAGCGAAGGCCGCTGTTGAAGGAAGTGAGCGTTGTGGCAGGATGCGGAGTGGGACGCTGATGATGCCGGGGTGATTGGTCGACGAGGAGAGAGATCGAGTCGAGATACTCGTACGAGTGGATGTTGGCAAGTTGGGTGGTGGCCGTTGGGTGCAGCAGTCATGTGCGAGGCCGTGCGGGTAGATGCAAGTCCGGCACTGTGGTCGATGGCCCGTATTTTCGTATTTCCAAAGAGCCGATCACTGCCGCTCTGAGACGGGCAGCAGCAACGAAGTTTGCCGGGCCTGAGCCTGGAGGTGGCACAGAATAGTTTGTCTTCAACTCCGAAATCTGACCTTTTTTTTGTGGGAAGACCAGAGGATTATCATTTGGATTTTTGGTGATGCCTCAACTGGCAGTCTTTCTCTCTTTCTCTCCCTACACTATTCCCTACACTACTAATTTCTCTTGCAGCTGTCAGACTCGGGCACTTAACGCAAACATCTGCCGCGGGTGCATTGCCGTGCCAAAGCCGGCGGAGAGATAAATTTTGATTAAAGCCTGCGACGTCATTTTGGGCGGCGCGCCAAAGGCCGGGGGAGTGGAGGCGGAGAGGCTACAGCGCCGCCTCCATGCCTAGTACTGTGGCGCCGACGCCTAAAGGCCCCCCTGGAGAGATTGAGCACCTAGCAATTTACGCACTGATGGCGGGTGTCGGGAGCTAACTCGCAGTGGGCAAGGCTGGTTGGAAGGGGGGCGTGGATTTCTTGGATTCGCTTCTCCATCTATGAGCTTTGGAGGAGTGTAAAAGACATCAATGCGTTGATTCCACAAACAAACAGTGTCAGCCAGATAAGATGATAGATACTGTAGAGTACAAGCAGATGGAGGAGCAGCTGCATTAGCGAGAGGAATGGGGAGCAAGGATTGATACCAAGAAGCAGAGAACAAAAAGATCATGGACATGGATACAGCAATAACACGACATCCAACTGTAGATCCAAGCTCACAAGCACCACACCACCACGTCCTTCATCGCTCATCGTGCACGGAAATGCTGACTCTCGATAATCACCAGCTGCAGCACCGGCAATATGCTGCCGACAATCGCTGCGGCCAAGACGCCGCAAACCCAAAGAAGGGCTTCCCCTCTTCGCTCTCAGCAGCTTCTAGTGGCCATCTAGACGTGTTGCCTCTTCATTTTGACTTGATCAATCTGCGTTGCACACCCCCCCTTCTTTTCTTCCGCGGACGGCCAAACTCTCGGCGACATGCAGCCTCCAGTCTCCATCCTTTTGGCGCTCCAACAGGCGAAAGGAGCAAGAAAACGCTTGCTGTGGCGATCCTCGCGCATGGGAGGGGCCCTAGCCTCGTGCCTTGGAGCAGGCATGAACCGGGGTGGCAGAAACCAATGTTTTGTTTCGATATTTTACAAGCATGTACTTGTCATTGGTATACACCGCGTATCTTCCTCACTAGATGATACATCGATATACGTGTAAGAGGGAGAAAGAAATAGCGTGATGGTGATACACGCGAGTCTTGCAAGGCCACCCAGTCGTATGCACGGCAAGGTCGTGTCACCACGCGAGCGGCGGGTGGTGCTACCAAGCTGCTGGGGATGGGCTTTTCTCTCTTTTGTGTCGTGCTCTGTGGACGAGTATGACGAGACTGGGATATGCGAGTGGCATATTGGCTTTGGAAGAGCTGACGATTTTTGGTGTGCTTCTTTGCTCGGGGAACTCAAGGTTGGCGTTGTACGTAACCCAATCAGCCGTTCCAGGTCGAGAGGGACAAGTACTTGCATGCCATACAGGACCCCTGACTTTTTGTTTGTGCAACTACACTATTGGGGATTCAAGCAATGCTTGCAGCTACCTGTACCTTTGCTTCAGTGCCTCGTTGTCTTCATGTTCTCTCCTCTCCTCCTCCTCCCATACTCACCTTCTTTTTGCTGGCGTTGACTTTGCTCACTTGACGCTTCTCCATGCTCCCCCAGATTCACCCACAAAAAGCAAGTCCCAGCTTCCAAACGCGTACAGTATTTTTCCCCAGGGGATCGGACCTGGGGATTATGAGGAGAAAGAGTTGGAGGAGGGGTGTGGGGAAATACAACTTTGCTGGAGCCCTTGATTGGGGCATCAAAGTTGTTCGTGCCGGGGTAGTGTTTTCTGGCTGCTTTTGGTGGCTTGCTTTTATGGGGGTCAAGGGGGGGAGTTTCGAGGTAACGGGTACGCTTCGAGTGCCGGATGACTTGCCTCGGCGCTGGCGTACTCGGTACTTGCGCAAAGCACTTGCTCAACTCCTTGCCTCATCGCCTCCCGCATGCGACTTATACGCCGCCGCTGCTGTTATGAGCAGCGCAATTTGATACCTCCTGCTTGTATGTGTGCTGGATGCTGCTGGTGTTGCATTGGTTCCAGCCCCCCGGAAGCGGCAGTACCCAATACACGCCGGGTACGAGCTCCCAGCAGCCAGTAGTCCCAGGAAAGAGTCTGCGATGAGACATCCCAATGTCCTCGATACACGTACCCAGGCCCATGACGCCGCAAAATCCTGGAGAGGCACCCACTCCCACTTTCACTTCCCATCAATCAATCAATCCACACCCCTCGTTCGTTGACCGATGCACTGGCCAGCCCAATTCCAGCAAGCTTTCCCCTACCAAGAGCCGCCAGCCGAGGACTGGAGGGATCGTCCATCGTATACAACGCCTCGTTTCGTTTGCATGGCGGGAAGGCGCCGCGGACATGTGCCCGCAGTCATATCCAGCTGGCAGCTGCTCGCACAATTCCGGCGTAACGATGGGCTCACTCCAGTGACTTCGTCTGGATATATATAGGTAGGCCCTTCCCCCTACCGCCATCTGCTCTCTTCTTGGCTCTTCTTTTCTTCTTTCTTTCTTGTCACCGCGTTTCATGGTCAAGACCCCTACTCACAAGTAAACACCAGGGTGATTGCGTGAGCCATGGCTATCGGCAACATCTACGTGATTGCCGCCACGTCCGTCGTCGGCGGCGCGCTCTTCGGCTTTGATATCTCGTCTGTCTCGGCCCAGCTGGCTGAGCAGTCGTATCTATGCTACTTCAACCAGGATGAGAACCCCCCAACCACTGCGGACGGCACCTGTGGTGGTCCCCGTTCTCTGGTCCAGGGAGGTATCACCGCCTCCATGGCTGCTGGTTCCTGGCTGGGAGCTTTGATCTCCGGTCCTCTGTCTGACCGATTGGGACGAAAGTACTCCATCATGGTTGGCTGTATCATCTGGTGAGTGAATGCTGCGGCTTTAAACCCAGCTCTAGTTTCCGTAAACTAACAATCTTTCTCTTCAGGGTCATTGGTTCTACTCTCTCTTGTGCCTCCCAAAATATTGGTATGCTCATTGTCGCCCGTATCATCAACGGTCTCTCCGTCGGTATCGAGTCTGCTCAGGTCCCCGTCTACATTGCCGAAATCTCTCCTCCCTCCAAGCGTGGTCGCTTCATCGGTATGCAGCAGTGGGCCATTACCTGGGGTATCCTCATCATGTACTACATCTCCTACGGCTGCTCCTTCATTGGCAAGCAGAACCCCGTCGACTACAACACTGCCTCCTGGCGTATCCCATGGGGTCTCCAGATGGTCCCCGCCTTCTTCCTCTTCTTCATGATGATGCTTCTTCCCGAGTCTCCTCGTTGGCTCGCCCGCAAGGACCGCTGGGAGGACTGCCGTGCCGTGCTCACTCTCGTCCACGGCAAGGGAGATCCTAACCACCCCTTTGTTGCCTACGAGCTGCAGGACATCAAGGACATGTGCGAGTTTGAGCGCGCGCATTCCGATGTCACCTACTTCGATCTGTTCAAACCCAACATGATCCACCGTACCACTATTGGTCTCTTCACTCAGATTTGGTCTCAGCTCACTGGCATGAACGTCATGATGTACTACATTGCCAACATCTTCTCCATGGCTGGTTACACTGGTAACGCTGGTCTGCTCGCCTCATCCATTCAGTACATCATCAATGTCCTCATGACCGTGCCAGCTCTGCTCTGGGTCGACAAATGGGGTCGCCGTCCGACGCTGCTCATTGGTTCCGTCCTCATGGCCCTCTGGATGTTCGCCAACGCTGGTATTCTCGCCACTCACGGAGTTGTCGTTCCCGGTGGTATTGACCACGTCGCTGCCCAGTCCATGAGGGTAACCGGAGCCCCCGCAAAGGGTCTCATCGCCTGCACGTATCTTTTCGTGGCTTCCTTTGCTCCTACCTGGGGTCCCGTCTCCTGGACCTACCCCCCAGAGCTGTTCCCTCTCCGTCTCCGAGGCAAGGGTGTCGCCTTTGCCACCTCTGGAAACTGGGCTTTCAACACCGCTCTGGGTCTCTTCACCCCAGTGGCCTTTGCCAACATCAAGTGGAAGACCTACCTCATCTTCGGCATCTTCAACACCGTCGCCTTCTTCCACGTCCTCTTCCTCTTCCCTGAGACTGCTGGAAAGACGCTGGAAGAGACCGAGGCCATGTTTGAGGATCCCAATGGCATCAAGTACTTGGGAACTCCAGCCTGGAAGACCAAGGTCGCCACTAGCCAGGTTGTCCGCGCCGAGCACGGTGATCTTGAAGCTAAGCTTGGTCACGACGAGAAGCCTCCGATCCACACACACGAGGAGGAGAAGACTCCCCCTCCCGAGTAAAGAAAGGGTTTGTTATATGAGACATCTTGAGTGATAGTCATGATAATGTGGTTGAGATATGATGGAGAGAGTGGCCGGGGTGGCCTCTTTGTTGATACCCTTGGATGGAGCTTAGGTGACGCAGCTTCGCGCTGCGGCACCGAAGCTTGTGATGCAAATGTTTAATAGTCGTACTATACCAATACAATTACATGTTGCATTCATTTTTGAGTCCGTGGTCAATTCTGCTTTATACCTTGAGTTTGCATAAAAGTGCATGTAGTGGACAAAAGCTGCTGAAGATACACTTGGAAGCTTTAGCCGCTTTCAATGGCTCTTGTCAATGAGCTATCCAAAACTCAAAACTCAGTGCCTCTTTTCCCGCAGTCCAGTGCATGTAGCGGCAGACGGCAAGCTGACTGACTTTTTTACGAGATGGTGAAAGCACGCAAGTGTCAACCAACATTGACTTTTGCTCTAGCAATTCAAGCACGGTTCATATTGCCAACCCCGCTTTGATCTCACTCGTGGCCTCTGTTTGCTCGATACATCTATCTAAGCTTAGGGCATCAACTTTGACTTTGCGCACACAGACTCAGAATGCATCAAGGTCATTGAGCGTTTCTTGATCCTGACAAATCTCTTCAGCATCTCCGGCATCCCCATCATGAAGTTTGGCTTAAAGTTTCATCAGCATCTGGTGGCCAAATGGGCTGATGACTATGTTGATTACAATGGCCTCCGCCAGATGATACGGCTCGCATCACAGCGGGAACAGGGGCTACCAGGTCAGTGACGCGCAAGTTTCAATCCAATCATTCCTTGCTTCCACTAAAATCTTGATTAGAGGTCTTGGTGCATCTAGAATCCAGCATGAGCAGCTTCAAGATTTCCTACTGCCGCAAACTCAAATCCATCTCCCGACGAGAGGCCGACGTTTGTGCCATATTTGGCCTGTCTTCACTGCCTGACGCTATCCCCAACATCGACACTGCGGAACAGCCTGAACTTGCCTTGTTACTCTTTGTTTACCAGGGGTTACTGCGCGAAGTACAAGAAGTCGAATGGTTCGGCAGAGTAAACGAGACAGCCATGACAAAACTCCTTGGCAAAATCGGCAGTGGTTTCCAACAGGCGAACGATTACCATCGTCTTCAGTTACAATGGTCTACCCTGCAACGGAACCTCGAGAATACTCTAGTAGGTACCAAGAAGAGAATTTCCGATATCGTGGTCGATCTTCGCCGAGTAAGCTCCATGACCCGACAAGCTACACGACCAATATGCATGAGAGCATTTCTTCGGGCTGAATCTTCCCCAGGAGAGTTGTATGATTGGATCAAGAGCGACGAAGTTGTTGCAATTCGCAGATATTATTTCTCAAGTAATGTTCCATTGACCAAGCGTCAATCTGAGTTGAAAGAGCAAATGTACAGCTTATTCATTGCTGCCATTATAATGGAAGCAAAGGAGATTGCAAAATTCCTTGTTGAGTTTGCGGTCGCTGAAAAAGATTGGTCTATGCTTACAGATCAGATATTCTTTTTCTTGAGCACTTGCGGTTTTATGAAACAGATTGGCTCATCAATTATGCTTTCGCTCGAAGAATGGCTCGTCGAATTGTTCGACAGGCCTAATCCTTTTACTACAAGCTTGCTACGCCACAAAGACAACCATGGGTGCTTTGCAATACATTACGCCGCAAAATACGGACTCAAAAGCTTTGTTAAAGCTTTGGTACGCTGCGCACCTATTTCAGATGCTGATGCTGGTAATATCTTATCCCGGAGAGACGACGATGGCATGACGCCACTGCACTATGCCGTCCTATCGAGCGAACCGTCAATCCTGTCCTTTCTATTGAAAGCGCTTGTCGACTTCAACGAAAAACAGCAATCAAAACTTAACCTTCCGACTTTCTTTGGGGACCTCCTTCTTCTATCTGTACGAAGCGGCCAAGATGATGTCGCAAAGATCTTGCTAAACCATCAAACTAGCATCAACTACACAGCGCCTCATGGTGAAACTGCTCTATACTGCGCAGCCCAAGCGAACAATTTGGATCTAATTAAGCTGTTGCTCACATATACTCAACGTGGGCTTGTTGTAGACTTTCCATCAGATATTACAAGGTGGACTCCGCTCATGGTTGCATGTGCAAATGGCCATAGCGAAGTTGTAAGCTATCTCTTGGAGGCTGGGGCTGACCCTGATAGGTGCGATGGTTTGGGGTGGACCGCTAGAGAGCATGCGGTGTTCAGAGGACACCTTGGTATTGCAACGCTTTTTGCATCGAAGCCGTCAGAGGCTACAAACAAAGGACCGGCAGATTCTTACAGGCAGGCTTGGCAGAGCCCTTCTCCGACTTCTTTCAGTAACAACAGCGAAAGGCTAGTCGTCATCAACCTCGGAAGCACTCAAGGAGGACATGATCGCGCCGCATTTGAGCTCTCTCATTACAATATTGAGGGGGGCAGCAGCCCTAGCGCGACAATCATCTCTTGTACTCGAGATCTCTGCTCCAGGAACAGAGGCCGAGCCAAAGTTGGTGCGGTTGCCAGTACTCGAAGATCAAATCAACCAGCCCTTTATCTTCTGTGCCAAAAATGAAGCTCCTCTTCAAATATCTATCCGACTATTTCGCCGCGAAACAATAGACTCAATGGTACTCTTGAGCCGTGGAAATACAACGCTAGATCATGGGAAAGTCTTCTTTGGAGAGAAACGTGAAAGCATGATTCGCGAGGTCAGCGTTTTTATGATGGATAAAGAGACCATGGACTTGACGGGGACTGTGTTGCTGAGCTATGTTGTTGCTACGCCGTTTGCAGGCCTTCAACAACCGGACACATCAAACTACCAAAGACGACAAGGAGATCCGGTGCAAATTGTTGGGCATAGAGGTATTTCGACTTGATCTTTTGGATGACTCCCTTGATTCCCAGTTAGGCTGATGATATTGCAGGCTTGGGGCAAAATACTGATAGTCGATCGTATCTGCAGCTGGGAGAGAATACAGCCATGGTACGATATAACACATCTTTTGCCCATGCTCTGGCACTGACGTTAAATGCTAGTCTTTTCTATCTGCCTACGAGTTGGGGGCATCTTTCGTTGAAGTATGTTTGTCTTCTGTCTACTGATCTTGATTTGAGTTTTACTGACAGTCTGTAGTTTGGTATTAAATATTTCTTCTCACACGATGTGGCAGCTCTGACAGATTCGCAGACTTGCAAATAACTCGCGATCTCGAGGCCGTAATATTCCACGACTTCTCGTTGAGCGAGTCCGGAACCGACGTTGCCATCCACGACGTTACCCTTTCTCAGTATAAGCATGCAAGCGATTTACAAGAACCACAAAGCATAACTCCAGTGACTATAGATAGAGGAAGTGATTTGCTTCATGGTCGACCGCAAAGGCGACGCGCCTGGTCAACTGGTGAAGAGTCTCGCCTGAGAACTGAGCAACTGCGTGATAGACTGCGATACACTGTGGACTTTCAGAACAAGGGCTTCAAGCCCAATACTAGAGGGGACTTTATACAGGGCTCATTGACTACGTTGGACGAGCTGCTTGTGGATTTGCCCGAGGATATTGGTTTCAACATCGAAATGAGTACGTCTGTCCATGTCTGTCAACGAGATCAACAGTGGCATGAACTAATCGCTTTGTGAAGAGTATCCGAGACTCCATGAAGCGGTAGATGCTGGAGTAGCCCCAGTTACCATCGACATCAACACATTTGTCGACGTTGCTCTCGAGAAAATTCAGCGACTAGCCGGTAATCGGCCAATAATACTCTCGTCGTTCACGCCCGAAGTCTGCATCCTGCTCTCGGTGAAGCAAAAGGCGTATCCGGTCATGTTCATCACCAATGCCGGCAAAGTGCCTATGGCAGACAAAGAGCTCAGGGTATCAAGTCTGCAAGTGGGCGTGCAGTTTGCCCGACTCTGGAATCTGGCTGGGCTCGTCTTTGCGTGTGAGGCGCTGCTGTATTGCCCCAGGCTTGTGCAGTTTGTGAAGAATGCAGGGCTGGTGTGCGCGTCTTATGGGCTGCTGAATAACGAGCCTATTCATGCACGAGTAAGTTTTTCTAAGTCTCTTCTATGCTTTAGGGCTTGGTATTTTATTTAAACCAGCTTTTGGGATTTTGATGATAACATTGTTGAATAGAAACAAGCGGATGCTGGCGTGGATATTCTCATGGTCGACAGGGTCAAGTTGGTTGCCGACGAACTTGCCAATGATGCTGCAATATCCAGTACACTCAACTAGAGTGAGAAAGATGCAGAAAAAGACTTATCTGATTAGAGACAAAGTTACAATTAATTACAGAGTGAAGGGAAAAAGAGGCTACTCACTGCATGCTGCATGGATGTAGCTTCATGTTTGGGTTGGCGCTATCGGTTCTCTGCAGGACTAGGCCGATTAGTGCAGCCGAAAGCATAGACAGATATTTAGCACTGAGCACTGACGTGACTCTCACAATGAAATGAATCGGTTACAAAAGGGACTGAGTTACATGTAAATCGCCTCTCCGCCTTGTGTGTTCGCAGATTACCTACATGAGTCGCAAATGACGTTCATCTCTGATTGTGAGAGGCCGCTGTGGCGGTGCTGACGATGGCGGTGCAGCAGCTGCTCAGCCCAACGAATGGATCCCAGCCCCCTCCATTACATGCAAACCGCCATCACTCACAAACTCTCTATACGAAGAGAATATTCCCCACGGATGCTATTGATAGCTCCCTAACAGCCTCTGCGCAACCACCGCTGCCACCGCTGATGTCTCACAAACCAGAACCATCAACCGCCAACCTCGTTCTTCAACCTCCTGCAGCCCAAAAGCCCCCCCTGCAGGCCCGTCGTCATTCCAGCCCACCGCCCCGTTTTCTACAGCACATGAATGGAACACGGATGCAATTCTCAACCCCCGCCACGCGACCACGATGCCCCGGCTCATGCTGCGCTGGTCAGGCCGTCAGCCCCCCGAGCCACCAACCATTTGCCGCCAGGTGAACGATGGGCTCGGCGCTTGCCGTAGGGGTTGTAGGGGTTGTAGGGGTCTGATCACTAAAACGGGGACACTAAATGGGACGCAGAGGTGAATCAGTCAAATGAGCGAGGTGAGAGACAGAAAACTCACGGGACCACCCCCCTGGACCCTGGGCACCTTTTTTTTTTAAATGCGTTGATGCCCTTTGGACAACAAAGAAGAAAAAACTTTTTGGATGTTGGACGTGGCATTGACCGTGCAGGATTTAGCGGCAAGCAATTGATATTTAAGACACGGAGGAAAGCAAGCAGGCAGCAGGTCTCGATACGTTACAATACCTACAATTTCGAAACAAGAAACACCAGAGAAACACATCAACACACGCTACATCTTCCTCTGCGATGCCCTCCTTCACCGGCACCACCCCCGAGGCTCTCCTCGGCCGCACCGACTCCCTCAACCCCGAAGCCACATGTCGCGGCATCACCTCCAACGGCCGGCCCTGTCGCCGCCCCGTCAGCCCTACAGGCCAGCCGCCCTCGCGCAAGAAGCTCTCGCCGCCAACCCCTGATGACGGCAGCGAGGACTCTTACTGCTGGCAGCACAAGGACCAGGCCGGCCGCTCGGGCAAGTCGACGCCTGGCTCGGGACGACCCTCTGGCGGCGTCATCCGCGAGGAGGGCCGTACGAGTCTGGACACGCTGGCGGATCGTCTGGGGCTCGTGGAGATCAACGATGGCGGGAGGCCCAATGGCGGCCGGTATAGCTCGGAAAAGTACAGGCCCAAGCCAAAGAGCACGACGTTCTGCTTCTGCTTCAGCGTGCCGGAAGAGGACTTTGACGAGGCGCCACGGCCTCACCAGCCCAGACCGCAGCCTCACCCTGTTCAACCCCAAGTTGGCCGGCCATCAACCTCGTCGGCGCGTCCATCACGCCCACAGACGTCTCACAACCAGGGTCATTTGCGCCCCTCCAGCTCGTCGGCCCCCACGGCAGGGCACCTCAAGTCTCTCATCCCCGACAACCTCGATGCCCACACGTCCTCGGTGCTCATGAAGGAAGTCGCCAAGCCGCCCTCCGACGCCGACGAGCCCGGCTACATCTACATGTTCTGGCTGACGCCCGAATCGGCCGCTGATCCGGCCCCCGTCGACGCCGCAAGGGACCTGCTCGCTCCTCCTCCCCGCGGCGGCGCCCGCAGCAGACGGCCCAGCGACGTTGTTTCTTCATTCGCAAACACAAATGGCCAGAAGCCAAAGACTATGCTTCTCAAGATTGGCCGAGCAGCCAATGTCCAGCGCCGCATGAACCAATGGTCCCGCCAATGCGGCCACTCCATCCAGCTGCTGCGCTTTTACCCCTACATGTCCTCATCTACTCCTCCATCCTTTGACGCTGCGTCGTCTCACTCTCACGGACGAGGTGCTGGAGGAAGAGCTCCTTCGCCAGCTGCTGCCGCTGCGGCTGTTCATCCCACGCCTCATGTCAAGAAGGTGGAGCGCCTTATTCACCTTGAGCTCGGCGGCATGGGACTCCGTGCTGATCTTGGCGCTTGTAAGACGTGTGGACATGAACACAAGGAGTGGTTTGAGGTGGATGCTTCGAGAGATGGAGTCAAGACTGTGGATGATATTATTCGTCGCTGGGTAGGGTGGGATGATGGTTCTGTTGTAGGCGGGCGATGAATGAGATGATATGCAATGTTACTTTGATGAGTTGATTGAGTATAGCATATGTTTATACCGACGATGAACGACTTTTTCTTCTTCATTTGATGGCATGATGTTTATATGGCATGGCATGGCATGGCGGGCGTTTATGAACATAATAGATTACACAGATATAGTATGAGTTTTATACATAGATTGAGCTTAGCATATACAAATGACAATTACATAAATGTACTGCAATACTAACCTTTATCCGCATACATATCTCTCTTCGAGTAGTCAATTATTACTACTGCGGCTGCTGCTACCGCTGCTACCGCTGTTTTCGCTTCTGTGTCTTGCTGCTAGTATTGATAGCTTCAACTACTTCTATTCCGTATATAAGTGGATGGTACGAGTTGAAAGGATTCATAAAGGTATAAAATTCCTCACCATGCTCGCGAACGTCACCCCGACAAGACATAAATAAACAAGTAAATCGCACTCATCAAACTAGTCTAATGATTTGTGGCTGAATCTCTTCCCAGAACGTACCACCACCAAGCCCTTGAGCGAAAGAACTCCACATACCGACTCTAACAAACTCTTCTGCATTCTGAGCCGGCACAACTAACAGACCAGCCATAACCTTCTGGTCAGCCAAACTACCTGGACGCAAAATTCCATCGCTGATATCAAAATGAGATATCAGGAGCATCCGCATCTCGTCTATAAGAGCGTACGGAAATCCGTAGCTATCATGAAGTTTGCGTTGCTCATACCAGTCAAATTTCAAGCTAGCCACGTAGCCGCCATATTCGGAATGCAGGGTGTATTGAAAGTGGTAATAGCCCAGACGCTGCATGTCCATTAATGTGGCTCTTTTTATATGGCGTCTTTTCTTGCTGCTATTCTCTCCCTCTTCTTCTGGCGGCACTAATTTGTACATTTTTGCGCTCAATTCTAGATTTGCGCTCAATACACGACCAAAGGGGTTCAATTCATCAGTGACAACACTCGCGACTCGCAGCTCGAATTCGGGGCATTCGTCTCTAAATCGGGGGGGGAGTAAGAAACCAGGAAACGGGGCCTGGACGGCTGGCCCAGCTCCATGAAGGTGCAATATATTCATGTTGACGCTGTTTGATGTAATCGTCGTAGTTTTGTGTGGTCTCCGGCATCCATAACAACCATTTGTGAAGATCAGCCTTCCATAATCCCGCCAAATACTTCAGGTCTGGAAAGGATGTGGCCAAGGCCCTAGCGACGCCAGACAAGGCCGGTAATCTGTCTTGCTCATAAGAAAGCCTTCTCCGGACATAGGATCCAACCATGCTATACCACTGGTCCATGAGATTCTGCCTGCTGCTCTTGCTGGCATCCAAAGTAAGTTGTGCCCCATCTTCAGAGCGGTACCACATTCCGTCCATCGACTCTATACGGCCTTCATGCCACAGATAGGCCATGTCATCTCCAATAAGAAGCTTGCGTTTCGAAAAATAGCTCTCTTGAAATGTCCACCCGCGTTGAAACCATGGCGCATTACCATGCTGCCACTGTTGTACCTCGAGTATGTTATCCTTTATGAATCCGTCAAAGGTAGACATAATTGGATATCCCGTGGCCAAGGTTTGTGTGGGGTGCTTGTACATTCGAAGGAATAGCTTTCCTTCAATCTTTGAGTCTATTTTAGACTTGAAATTTATCTGCAGCGTGCTCGGGTTGTGTTGCCTCTCCAGAAATCCAGCCGAGCAACAAGACCCCGTGACAACACAGAGAGTAATGAAGCTATTTGCGTATATCTCAGACATTTCGAATGACTCTCTTGTCCAGTCATCCTCGTCATCTTGGATTATACACAAAGCATCAACCCATAGATACCGCACGCCAATCGCGCGGCACAGTTCAACGGCATCTGCAATTGTCTGTGGCATGTCTTGGAGCTCAATTCCCAAGAGATGTTGCTGTAGAGTATTTAGTGGTTTTTAGTTGCTTTTCTGCATCCTCCTTGGTGCCCCAGCAGTAACTGATAGCCGCGTATCTGTTTGCAAAAGCGTTTGCCGCCACTGGTTGAAGCCGAGGGTAGCTCTTCATGGAGACCAAGCGAAGACATGGCTCTGTGGTTGATCCTACGTCTAGCAGACGCGTAGGTAGGTATTCATCTTCTTCTTCAAAATATGCTTTATCCAACGATTGAGTAATTAGCTCGCGCAGTCGTTTCACCGCTAGCGTTGACAGCAGTCTGTTGGAAAAGGGCTTCTTCTGAACATTGAACAAGTGGCGCAAGGGTCTAATGTCTTGTTAGCAGCATGTCTATGGATATGTGCCAGTAGTGATGCTTATGTATTAAAGCACCAAGGGGTGAGTATAGAAATACCAGAAGTCTCGGCATAAAAGTTATAGTGAAGCGAGTGATTACCCATCTCCAATCCTCCTACCTCAACCGTGAAATAGACATAAAGCGAGTCAAGAGTCGTCATTTGATGTTGACACACTTTCGCATCGTAATCCTCCTCATTCAACTTGTAGGAGACTTCAGTAATAATGAGTTTCTTCTGAAACCCACTGAAGCCATCTACTTCCTCCACAACCTTTCCGAGCTTGGGTAAGATGGAGATAATATCTCCCCTTAAGATTTCACAAAAAGCGCATCCTTGGGAGACACTGGCAGCGAGCCCTGGAAGATTCGGTAGTACGTCTTCCCTTTTATAGCCCAAATTTAAGCGAACAGTCTGAAGCGTCGTCTGTAACGTTCCGCGAGCATCTCCAAAGAAACGATAACCCTTTCCCTTAAGCTTATGTCGAACAGCATCGCTATGCTTTGCCTCGTCGAGATGGAGTAGCTTGCAGTACTCGCAGGGTTTGTCAAGAAGCAAAATCTCTGTGTCGACTCTTTCTGGATCTGGCGATCCTGTGTTGCTTGAACTTGCCATTAGCATGAAGTTGCAACGGCTGCTCTCAACTAAAATGAAAATGGCAGAAGTAAGGTGCTCGCTTTGATGGGTAGCTTCCAAGATTTTGTAAGGCAGACTACATGTAGTGCAGCTTATCATGGTGGCGGGGCGCAGCGCCTTCACAGGAATATATTATGGGGAACCTTCTACGTGTTGTAATTAGAGGTACCTACTAATACAGCGATACATTTACCCAAGTAATCAGCCTAACGAAATATCTTCCGTGGGACAGCCTGCTTTACTCTATATGAGAGATCACATAGGATCACAAGAGGGAAAACAAAGAGACACAGAGAAAAATCTAGATAAATTAAGGCTATAAGATTACGGGAACTGTGTGTGATGATGAAGAAGAATTGCCAGTAATTAGGAAGGAGCTGAGGACAAGAGAAGGTACATGTAGCCAGGCACAGACAGATGTGGTATATGTACTGAGATCTACTAAGGCATGCAAGTAAGGATATGCATTCATTTCTCAGACCGCAATCATAGGACCGTGGACCGAATAATTTAGACACGAACCAAACATTCGCTCTAAAACAATCATCAGCCACACGCATGAAGCAGAGACAGCATAAGCTAGCCCTTATTACATAAGCTTCTGTTATGCGGGATGAGTTACGATGCATGGATTTAATACTTAATGCAACTCCCAGTATATGAGATAGTCTATTCGACCAACTGGTCTACTCGGCATACATTAACCTAGGCGAGAACGGATAGACCTAATCTATGATGGCCTCATGAACTATGTGCCTAGCCGTAATAATTGAGCCGGGCGCCACATTCCAAGAAGATTACTCGAATGACTGCGTTGTTTCGATTCACTGTGGACACTATAGTTGCACACAAATACATGTAATTAATGTAAAGAACCTCGCACATAAGATATGGTAACTAGAAACTGCCAGTTCACAACATGTGCCAAGCATTTCGCGAGCTGTGTAATAACCAAGATTTTTCTCCTCTTTCATTGATACATCTTGTGCGGATTTTCCTATATTCGTCTACACATGTACATAACTTCATCGACTGAACATTCAACTTGTTAGTCCCTACATATATTACCTAGGCTAACGAAGGCTAAGCTGAGGAAAATCGAGACAATCATCAAAACCCTCACACGGGCCGACCAAAATACAGGCCGCCCCTCAGTCTGATGAATACAGGGCGCGCAGACCACCCACGGCTCAAAGAGCTACAAAATGACATCCGGACGAGGAAAGGCGGCTTGAATATCATGTCAGGGGCTACCAACTTGTGAATAAGCGCCCGGCGCTCACTATAGAGGCGAGAGATACGGGCGGTTAATTGTGGCCAATGCGCAGGACTCCATGTATTCAGTGAATATATGCTGGGAATGCGACTTGACAAACGAATAATGTCCTCTACCGCCACACAGGTTCCCACGTAAAATCTGCCCTCAGCGAAAGGTTCATCGCCAGTCTAGCCGGGGTTGACGAGCGCATCGCACGAATTGAGCGAATGCTCCAGTATCAGACCAACATCTTGCTTGATGAACCATCTCATCGAAGCTCAGTCCACATATGCAACCAACCCGCCTCTAAACATAAGACAAACGATGAAGAAACCGCACTCAGTGGCAAGCATGCCCGAAGAGCTCAATTTAGGAGTCTGCGTAACTCCATCGGCCATCGTCTGTCGAAAACGTCGTTCCTGCTCATGCCACACGCAGAAAACCACGACATCCCCAGCATTCTTGAATGACTTGATCGGCCGTCTATTCGATGGCTATGCCGGTCTATCTGCCATGAGCCCAGAATGTGACAACAGAGAGTGCCAAGGATCGCGCTCGAGTAAGATTAGTGTGGAATATCGGTTTCCGGCCAGCGTCTGGTCTAGGATTCTACGTATGGAGCTGTCATTTCATCACCAGGCGGGACTTTCGCTTCAGCTAGGCGTGCTTAGAAATCATACCCGACAACTCACGATGCATCAACTTCGCCGTCGATGGAAATATTCATGGCTTGAAGTTTCTCTTTGATCGCGGCTTGGCCTCGCCTCGAGATATCAGCAGCACGCGAGGATACTCTCTGCTTCGCTGGGCGTTATACAGTAAGCATTATGAAGCCTGCAGGTTTCTCCTCCAGGCTGTCGCCGATGTCGAATACAGGCCGATTGGGGCCTTTGATAATAGTCCCCGTATCATAGCATGTCACTTTCTGCTGGAGGGCAATCTCTCGGAGCCTGCCGTAGATGCCCTGCGAGCTATTACCAAGGGCAACGATTATCTGGAGGATTTTATCGATGACTCTAATTTTCCAAAGACGCACCGCATCATGTTAGGCCTCTCGGGTAGTGATTTGGAGGCTGAGCTTCTTCTCCATCCCGAGGAAATCGACTTGCCAGACTCTATGGGACGTACGGCTCTGGCATGGGCTGCTGCTAGGAATGATAGGCGTGCTGTTGTTACGCTGCTCAGATATGGCGCAGATCCAAATATCATTGATGTACAAATATTGGGTGCTCTATCTAATGCAGCAGCTCGGGGCCATACTGCATGCGTTAAACTTCTTCTTGATGCTGGGGCTGATCCTGACCCACCGTTACCAAGCGGTATCAAGAAAGGTAGTCCGCTGAACATTGCTGCCCCGAATGCCAACGATGCTCTCCGTGTCAAGATCCTTTTGGACTTTAGAGCGGATGTCAATCAAGCCAGTGTAGATGATAAAACGGCCTTGTTTTACGCCGCGCAAAAAGATGATGCGATGCTTGCGATTCTCTTACTTGAAAACGGCGCGGAGATCAATATGCCCTCCTCAACGAGGGACATGCCACTTACTACAGCCATTACACATAATAGTCACCATGTGCTGCAGCTATTTCTTGAACGTGGGTATGAATATTCTGAATGTCCTCGGCTGAAGGGGCCACATCTTCTCGATGCCACTGCGCTCTACGCAGATCTGAAAACAATCGACATTCTAGCAAATACCAACCACTTTCGTCTCAAATACGATAGGCACTTCGCTCTTGGAGATTTTAGAAAGACGTTACGTGACCGTAAAGATGTCACTGAAAAGCTGAGCTTTGCTTTTGGCGAGTTGCTACGGATTTCCGAGGGCGCTTCCCATGTAGCAGAGTCTGATAAAAGGCTCTTGGAAGCTTGGTTTATGCATCATGCGTCATTTGGTGCTCAGTAATACAAATTCGACTGTAGTTGAGAAGGCGACCTAAGGAGATACTGGCGTGAAGCTACATGTACTTTATGTTCTTCGTACTACCATCACATGTATGCGTTGGCCACGAATACGAAGCTAAGCCACAAGATTCTGTTTCATGGGGGTATTACGCTGGAATAGCGCTACGTAGGCAGTTATCCGGTTAGCTATTAGGTGTAATGTGCTATTGAACAATTCATGGACTTGTAAATGTGTATATACAGGACGCCTTGGTGATATACGAACGGGCCTTCTCAGCGTACATAAAGGTAGATTAACGATGATAGAATTCTGATCAACAGGAAAATGAGAATCATGTCATTTAATGAAGATGCTTACTTTCATCAATGCTTAAGCATACATCTCGTTATCTTACAATGGTATATCAGAAAGGCCTGCTAGGACAAGAAGTATATGTAGGTATCAGCCCTAAGAACGGTCATCAAAAGACACTGCGTTGACTCAAGTTACAGATACGTTTTACATTGTATCAAAATCATAAAGAATAGAGCACGGGTATAAGAGTTGCGATAACCAAGGGATCTTAGCCCATGACACACGCCAAGGAACTCAGGTTTCACCGTGCAACAAACAAACGTCTTCTCCTCTTTCTCCTCTTCATGCGTAAATAGCGGATATTTTCCTCAACCTATCCCCACATCACCATATATCCATCAATGAATCATTTGACATAAAAAGAAATACATATATCTAGCCAAACCTAACTGCACAATGACTACGCTCCAGTCCTTAGAGAAAGCACTTAGACAAGCAGCCACCGCACCATCGTCCAGGGAACAGCCGTTATCAGACGCCCAGTACAGCACTGGTCTCAACTTTTTCACTACAGGCTCTGGATGGGCAGCTTACCAAAAGTTCATCATTCCTCAGCTATCCAAAGTTTTAGCTCCGCTCTTCAAGTCGCGCAGCCGTGTCTCGGTGCTGGAGATTGGACCTGGTCCAAAGAGTGTGCTTGCATATCTGCCTCGTCAGCTCAGGCAGAAAATTAAGAGATATGTTGCACACGAGCCGAATAGATTGTTTGCCACAAATTTACAAGAATGGCTTTCCTTTAGTGCAGAAGGGGGACCTCCGCTGCCGTGTCTGGAGAGTCTTTCAGACATTCGACGAGTACCATTCGTTCCTGGGAACGATACAAACATGAATGCCATAACGAATGATGGCGACGAGAAATTCGACGTCATCTTGTTCTGCCATAGTCTGTACGACATGAAGCCTGAACGTAAGTTCATCGAGCGAGCACTGGAAATGCTTGTTGAGCAGCCAGGCGATGGATTGGTGATTGTCTTCCATCAAGCTGGCGTCCTGAACTTTGATGGCTTGATATGCCATCGGACGGCTTCATTCCCTACTGGAGAGGTCCTTATTGCAGACGAAGACAAAACATTGGACTCTTTCGCCCCTTTCATCGCGGGCTTTATCATGAAAGATGTTGGAGAGGACATTGCAGTGCGGAAAAAGTGGCGAGAAGTGTGTCGCGCCCTGGGTCGCCGCAAAGAAGGCCATCCATATCATCTGCAGTTCAGCGCGCCCGAGATCATGGTGGCCTTTACTCGACATGCCACCGCGTTGCCGGACTTGGCAGCGGATTTGCCGTTGATGAAAGGAGAAAGGACAGTTAAGAACAGGGAGGTACGTCTTCACCGTCCTGCTGCTATAGCCAGGCCAAGCGAGATACGGCATGTCCAGCAGTGTGTTCGATGGGCCTTGAAGCATGGAGCGAGTCTAACTGTCGTTAGCGGAGGCCATAGCGGCCACTGTCTCTGGCCTGAGGTCGTCGCGGTCGATATGGAAGCCTTTAACCAAGTACACATTGTCACGGTTGGGGACTCTGGATCCAGCTCAGGTTCTTGGGTCGTTGCCGAGGCTGGTTGCAAGACTGGGAACATCATTCGCAAGGCTATGGAAGAAGGTCTGACAGTACCTTTGGGTTCTCGTCCAAGTGTAGGAGCAGGATTATGGCTTCAAGGAGGCATCGGACATTTGGCTCGACAGTATGGACTCGCGAGTGACGCTATTGTCGGCGCTGTGGTAGTTAGCCTGGACTCCGGAAAGGTCTTGTGCATTGGTCAAGTACCAAGTCAACATTGTCCGGTAGATGCTGTGCGTCCGGATAATGAATCTGACCTGTTATGGGCGATCAAAGGAGCCGGAACTAACTTCGGTATCGTCATTAGCGTTACCTTTCAAGCTTTCACTGCTGCGACTTATACGGTGCGAAACTGGGATGTACCACTAAGTGAAGGTGATAACCTCGAGCCGCAGAAATGGCTCAAACAGCTCAATGAAGTTGCTAAGAAATTACCCAAAATCTGTTCTACAGACGCGTATCTGTACTGGGAGGCTGACCAGTTGCATCTTGGCGTGAGTATGTATGAGTCCCATACCATCAACCTCAACGTTGAAACTCCTACATGTATGCTATTAGATGAAGTTTTTGGACCTCAAGATAACTTCCAGGTTGTGGATGGGGTTGGTCTATTCGATACCGAGATGTACATGTCTGGGATGCATGGCGGACACGGTGGCGGCAAGACATCTTCGTTCAAACGATGCCTGTTCATAAAGAATATCGGAGGAGCCGACGTCGCCAATGTCTTAATAGAGGCTGTGGAGACTCGTCCCTCAGCACTCAGCTATCTCCATCTTATCCACGGTGGCGGAACAGTCGCCAACATTGCTGCTAATGCCACTGCTTTCGGCTGGCGAGACTGGGACTTTGCCTGTGTCGTCACTGGAGTCTGGCTCCGCGACCAAGATGGGACTGATATTGCTCAAGCTGCTGTGAAGTGGGTTTATGCCGTTGCTGAGAAGTTGCTGCCCGTAAGCAGCGGAGTTTATGGGGCCGACCTGGGACCAGATCCAAGAGATGCCGCTCTAGCAGCCAAGGCATTTGGACCAAACTTGCCACGGCTGGCTCGTCTCAAACATGACTTGGATCCTCATAATGTGCTGGCTTCTGCCTTTCCACTCCCGAAGAGCCCAATGAAGCCGAAGCTCATCGTTCTTGTCACAGGCGAAAGCTACGCGGGTAAAGACTATTGTGCCAATATTTGGGCTTCTGTACTCTCCAAGGATGCTGATAGAAACATCAAGGCGCGGGCAGTCAGCATTAGCGATGAGACGAAGCGAGAATACTAGCTGCCACTGGAGCTGATCTAAAGGCCTTGCTAAACAATCGTGCATACAAAGAACAGCACCGGCCAGCATTGACAGAGTTCTTTCAGGAACAGGTGCGGCAGCGAGCAAAGTTGCCAGAGGAACATTTCAAGAATGCAGTCTATGGCGCTGCAGATGTGGATGTTTTACTGATCACTGGGATGAGAGATGGGGCGCCAGTTGCTACTTTCTCACAACTGGTTCCAGACAGTAGGCTTCTCGATGTTCGCGTCGAGGTCAGCAAAGAGACAAAGAGGGCTCGTCGAGGTTTTCACTGCGATGACGATAGTAATCTTAATACTGGACGCCATCAAGATTTTGAAGAATTGGCGAAAGAATTAGACTACTGCCCCGGCCTCATATTTGACAATACTGCAGCTGGGGATGAAGCAGCAGTGATTTTTGCCAAACAACACTTGCTTCCCTTACTTCATAAGGATATGCAGCGCTTGGCCGACATGGTTCGTCCAATACCCGACTTTCCACGCCAGGGCATCGAGTTCCAGCACGTTCTTGATATCTCTCAGCAGCCAGGTGGTTTGGCCTTATGCTCCTCTCTACTGCAAACCCACTGTAATGGTGACTGGGCCAAAGTCGATGCCATAGCATGCTGCGAGGCTGGAGGCTTTGTCTTTGCGTCAGGCTTGTCTGTACGAGTTGATGTGCCCTTGTTGCTGATTCGCGAGCATGGCAAGCTTCCGCCACCTACTGTCTCCGTCAGCAAGTGCCCGTCGCATATCTCATCGCATTGTCCAGGAGAGAAGAAGATTGCGATGGACCGGGATATGGTTACCAAAGGGGCTTCGGTGGTGGTTATTAATGATGTACTTGCTACAGGGGAGATACTTTGCGCTGTGGTGCAGTTATTACTTGAAAGCGGTATCAATCTTCAAGACATAAGTGTCATGGTTGTGGCCGAGTTTCCTACTCATGGTGGGCGCCAGCTACTGCACAAACGCGGTTTTGGCAGAGTCAGTGTTCACAGCCTTTTAATCTTTGGTGGTCTCTAAGAATACCTGAACTCATTTCAATATGTATTTTTGGTTCAGAGACTTGTGCGCAGGTTGGAACGGTACAGATTGACTACACTGGAAGAGAGAACAATGATGGCGCCGAGAGACGGTGCTGATATACACGCCGCCGTATCTTTGCAATATTTTATGTCTCGATATACTCAATATCCCTATTATTAAGAAAAAAAAATTTTTTATCAGCTTCTTTGTGAATAATTCTGCTATGTGAAGCCTACTAGGTAGTATCTGTAGTCTATGTGTAGGTAGAGAGAATGTGTATATAAGGGTGTGAAGACAAACACAGCGTTGCATATTAGTTCATGTAATATCAAACACCAGAGCAAGCTCTAGAAGTATCCCCACCGTTGATCGCAGCGATGCATGCATGCTATACAATGCCCTTTTGTTCTGTCGATTGAGAATAAATGAGGCATGGGTATTTCCTTTCTGAAATTCATCTTGACTAGTTCAGCAGTCTTCATTCTTTTGCTCGTTTCATTACGTCGGCACAAACAGCGGTACATGTATCCGTCAATGCATGCTAACAGTACTAGTGTGCCCCAGCCAGGGTTGTGTCACCGCTATATATATCAGCCGCAAATCGCTCAGTTCAAGTTGTTAGATCTATGTGTCCATCAATTAAGTTTTATTGGCAAAATATTTGCCTGTATACCCTTATCAAGATGCGTCTGCTCAGCACAAAGACTCTTGAATTCTGCGACTTCCTAGGGACAAATATCCCGCGTTACGCCATTCTGTCGCACCGATGGGAACGCGATGAGATGTCCTACCAAGACATGATGAAAGAAATGGAGCGTAACAACAACTCATGGCCTGGTCCAACAGAGGTTTTGCAGAAACAAGGTTATCGCAAAATCAGCGAGTTTCGTCGCCTGGCTTTGCAAGATGGATATGAATACATCTGGGCAGACACATCTTGCATTGACAAAACCAGCAGTTCTGAACTCCAGGAGGCCATCAACTCCATGTACCAGTGGTATTGGGATTCCGACGTCTGCTACGCCTATCTTTCTGACGTGTCTGTTCCAACTGATCGCACCGACTCAGATGGCAGATTCCTCTTCAAGTCCTCAGACCTTGAGTCGTTCCAGAGGTCGCAGTGGTTCACCCGTGGCTGGACGCTTCAAGAGCTACTAGCTCCACGAGCTCTAATATTCGTTGATCGGAACTGGCAAAAGTTCGGCACAGCCTATGACTTGGAAAAGTTTATCGAAACAGCTACAAGTATTCAAGTTCGAAGACATGTGCACCAGGGCCGTAAGAGGTCAGAGGCTCTTCAAGTCGGACAGTGCATGGCTTGGGCCGCAACCCGGTCGACAACTAGAATTGAAGACCGCGCCTACTCGCTGCTAGGACTCTTCGATGTTAATCTGCCCATGATGTATGGTGAAGGGGGGCGATCATTTCAACGTCTGCAAGAAGAGATACTCAGAAGTTATGAAGACGCATCTATACTAGCATGGAGTCATGCAGATGCGGATACTGGGTTCGCACCGAATGGTTTGGCTCCATCGCCAGATCATTTCCGCCAGTATCCCAGATTGATAGACAGAATGAGCAATAGTAACTTCGAATTTGCTACAATCAATCCCACGTTGACACGCCGAGGCGTCCAAGTTACACTGAGTATCCATATCGATGAACATGACTTGGCGCTCGGTTATGCTTTTCTACTAAACTCTGACCGTCCTTTTTCCAACATGTTGGTTCTTCCTTTACTGCTCACCAAAGCTACATCAAAACTGGGCGAAGATTTAGAAGCCGTTAGACTCTCAGACCCCCTTTGGGTCGCACAGAGGTTTGTCGGCCCCGGTGATAGGAGGCTGGTCTGTTTGCTCAGACAAGCGCAAACTGCAGACATGAGTCGTTGTCGCGACGGATTCAGCCTTTCTTCAGCAGTATGGGAAAACTATACAACGACATTGGCGTATCCACCACAAGCAAGAACCGAGAGTCGGCATTTTCCAGTCGTTTTTGGCGGAGTCACTGGAGACATGGAAGGGTTTCCGCTGCTGAAGAAGGAGCATGTTTTTGCCATAGAACTAACGATCCGAGGCAATGCGTCAGAAAGATTTGTTGTGCTGGTGGATTACAACATAGACTATTTTGGGACAGCCAAACTAAATGCTGTTAGAGTTATTATCCCGGGGAGGGAGATGGATTTGGCAGATTTGGCAGACTTGGCTCGCTCTCGAGGAAAACGATACCGTGATCGGGAGCTCTTTGATCAAGATGGCAACGCGATTCCAGCAGATGAGATTATCGAAATTCGCAAGTTCTCCAGTTATTGGGTTCAAGACGAGGATGAAGAGCTTACCAAGCCGCCAGTTGAGGCGCTGAAACAGCTTTGCATTATAGAAGACATAGAGTCTTGACATTATGGGGACGCCTAGAGTCGCGGTAGGATAAATTGAATATCAAATAATTAGAGCATAACCTGCCTCTTAAGCGGCAGTTAAATTTGGTCTAGAGTATCAAAGTTGCTCTCTCATCCAAGCCTGTTCAATTCTTTAACCAATCAACAGCCCAAGTCACTCACCGTGAACCAACCTTCCCTTAACATAGACGTTCACAATGTTCCTATCGTCTCCCGTCATGATAAATTTCTCCAGCATCCTCAGTGGCGAGTCATCTTCATCCAACGGCACATTCACCCCGCTCCTCTCATCCCGCAAATCAATCACCAAAGCATCAAATTCCTTTCCAAGCGCGAATTCGCCAACCTTGTGATCAAGGCCGACAACTTTGGCGCCTCCTTGGGTAGCCATGTAAAAAATCTCTTCCAAGCTCAGAGCTTCTCTGCCCCCTCCTTTGCCACCGCCGATGCCTATCTCTTTCGCTTGTTCAAATGTTGGATACAGCGCATCCCTCGCATACGACGTGATGAGAGCATGTCTCATCGCATTCAACATGCTTGAGCTGTAGCCGCCTCCCGAATCTGTTCCCAGGCCGACGTTGATACCCCGTCTGAGAAATTCTTTTACAGGAGCAGCCATGAAACCTCCTCCTACAGTCATGTTTGCCGTAGGACAATGCGCGACGCCGCACTTCAAATCATGAAGCTCTTGGATCTCGTACTCTGTCATGATGGTACAGTGAGCGAGGATAGTGTTCGGTGTAAGAAGTCCAAATGAAGAGTATAAGTCAGCTTCGTTGTTAAACTCCGGAAAGAGAGACAACGTGGCATCAATTTCCTGCTGTGCTTCATTGAAATGAGTCTGTATCGCTAGGGAAGGGTCATCGCGGGCCATGTTGCCAAGAGACTGTAACAATTCTGCTGTGCACGATATCGCGAAGCGAGGTGTCAAGACAGGCTTAAGGAGAGTGCTCTTCGGATCAATGGTTCGAATATGCTGAATGCATGATTTCGTCGCAGAAATAGACTCTTCAGCAGAGGTTTCGCAGTAGAAGAATGGCGAGTTGCGATTCATGTTGCATTTTCCGATCAAAGCCCTTTGGCCTTTCCCAAGACACGTTGATGCCAAAACATTCGTCGCTTCCCCGTGCAAAGAGCCATAGTAAGACGCCGTCGTAACGCCCTGTCTGAGCATCCCTCGAACGAGCTTCTCATACACCTTTTCCGCATGAGATGCATCCGCAAATTTGGCTTCATTGGGGAAAGTGATGCCATCAAGCCAGTCTAGAATGTGCATTCCCTGGCCCAAACCTCTTTGCATCCACTGAGGAGCATGATTATGCGTATCGACAAAGCCCGGGATAATGAATTGGCCAGGGAGAAGTATAGTTTGACGAGCATGTTCGATGCGTTTCCCAGCGAGGAAATCAGCCACTTGCGAAGTAGGAATATTCTGCTCTATATGTGTGATGATACCAGAAGCAGAAAGGATGATGAGAGTATCTGCAAGGATTTGGACTTGCGTGGGAGAAACAGAGTGGATTAGAATTCCGTGGATGGCTTGGGCGGGTTCATCCATGACGCCGTCTTTTTCTTTCTTTGAAGTTATTTGAAGACTTAATTATGAGACTGGCGAGATTGCGGAAGTGGCAAGATAACGATTATTTAAATGATGTTGCAAGCTGAGAAATGGAGCGCATAGCCTTATTTGCGTAAATGTAGAGATAAGGCTGACGCTGCGGGGTTGACACATGTCGAGGTCTCTCTTCAAGGCGGGGATGACTTGAATACATGAAGCATGTCTTATATTTGAATAGCTCATTACTGTCTACATATGTGAATCTAGCAATTGGCTCATTTGCTTCATAGTCTGTCAATTTGGAAACCAAATGCACAATCAAATTAACTCTATTAGCCATTTCAAGGGGGCATTCAGCTAGATCCACAACTGCTGGTATCTGGAATAACAACCAAGTAAGACAGATAAGAAAAAAAAGTTGCAGCCACCGCGAGTGACAATTTACGAAAAAGAATTAAGACATCATACAGGCGATGAAAATTGCAAAAAGAATGTCCTCGGTGAGGCTCGAACTCACGACCTTCAGATGGCCCAGACTAATGTCTAGATCATATAGATGTATCAATATGAGACTGACGCGCTAGCCAACTGCGCCACGAAGACTCTTTGATGCTTGAGTTTGACGCAAGAAAAGACTATAAGCTTTTTTTCTATTGAATTAGGTGAAATTTCTCCAAGATGAGTCTCAGCTGCTCTTGGGGTTAACGCTCATCCGGCATTTAGCCGTTATAACCTCTTCCTCCCGCGCTCTGTCTTAAACAGTACCTAGTGCACAGCCTATACTTACCAGCGCACTCTGTTTTTAACAGTACTATAGTAATTGCAAGCCTATTATCAAAGTGGCACGCCTTCAACAGAGTTCAACTCGAAACAAGAGACCCTGAGTTTTCCACTACCTATGAGATAGCGCCGAATATACGCCCAAACCTCAAGCCCAAATGCGACATCCTCAATGGGCTGTAAGATATGGGCGGCTTGAGCTAAGCAGGCCAGGATGTGCACGGCAGATGGACTGAGCCATGCGTAGGGCGAGATGGCTATCTAGGTATAAGTACCCCATGGTGTTTACCCGCTATAAGTGTGGATAATTCTACGCGAAGATACATATATAATTGCGGCAAGTGGTGCTGTTTTTATCAATTTTTGGATCCGCCTTAACCTACATCTACTTTAAAAAAGGATTTCTGAATGAAATCGCCATCATGATCATTATTGCCATTTTCGCAACAATGACCTCATAAATTCACTCTGACCCACGTAAAATCTGCCAATTCATCTCACACACACAGATACTATATTTCTTCTAGTATTTCTCTCGTGTAGTGTTCCACATCTTTTCTTAGTCTACTCCAGGCGCATCAGTGGCTTCATCAGACTCTTCTGGTTGAGGTGCAGGTGGGTCGTCTTCTTGATCTTCATTCTCTTCATCTTCATTCTCTTGAAGTGCATTGAAGTTCTTGTTGTGAAACTTAGCCATCATCCGCTGGGCGCTTTCTCTGGCAACAACGGCATCACCATGGCTCTTCTCGCAGCCTTCCAGGGCCACTTGGAGATCGCTCACAACTGCTTTAGCTGCTTCAATATCCCCAATCGCCGCTAGGGATTTAGCATCGATTGTGAGTTTACTAACGCAATCAGTCGAGTCCCTTACGGCCCTAGCTGCCGCCGTAGCTTTCTGTGCATCCTCCGTGACTCTTATCGCGAAATTTGATGTAAGCTCAGCCGCTTCATCATAGCGTATCTTCCCTTCAGGTGATTGCCTCGCTGCTTCTTCGTGATAGAAGCCTGCAAGTCCGACATAGTGGGAAGACAGGGCATCGCGCATCAATTTTGTTGCCAAGTGGTGAACCTGAAGCTCGCATCTCTCTGCCGCTGCGGCTTCATCCCTGGCCCAAGTCAAAAGCGACGAGGCACGTATCTTGGCCTTCTCAGCGTTGTCGGTGATCTCAGCTGCGACCTCTCGATGATGCTCCCGTACATACTGCCACGTTACGCAGAGAGAACTCCCAAGAAGCCACCACCCGGTCCACGGGTGAAAAGCGAGCCACAAGAGGGGGAAATGAGACCATGAGGGAATCCTTTGACGAAGCTTCACGTAGAGGATTATGTAATTGCGATATCCATATCGCAAAGGGCCAGCTATATTTATCGTAGCGCAGATAGTCCCTGTTAGAGCCAGGATACCAAGGAATATCCATTGCAAATATGGACTGGAGAAAGCCTCAGTAACCCTAAAAGAGGACGCAACAAGCCATGCCGCCGGAATGATAATACCTAAGATAAAGTCAATGACTGTCGTGGTGGATAATATACTACAAGGTAAAAAACATACATTCGACAATGCCAGGCCTATAGCTCGAACTAAGTGTCGGAGAGCCATAATATGTTCCTAGCGCCAAAAGTAGAGCTAGCCAGCAACTATTAGCTTCTTTGCTTTACATAGTATGATGGATGCTACTTACATTGGACATGGGCTGGGTTGCTTATTTTGAAAGGCAAGATAGATTGACCTTGTTCAAGCGGCAAGATGGAATGGCCTCGTAGCAAGAAAAAGCCAAGTAAAATAAACACGAATCCCGAACCTATGTAATGGTTAAAATTGACTCAAGACATTTCTGCACTTAACCTACTACTGCTATAAGCGGCTGCATGTGCGCTATGTTTCACTGTCGATTGAAAGAACAACAAAAATAAAAAGGCAATGAGTATCCAATTCTGCTCCCCATCTATGAACTTGGCTGGTAGAAGATTTGTCGTGAGGGTAGGTTCAAAGAGAAGTGGGACAGCGGCGATAATAACGGCCCCTATTGCTATGTTAATATAGGGTATCAAAAGATATTGCGCGCGGTTACTTACAATAATGTTTCCCTTCACATAATAGCTCTTGTCGGAAAAGAGAGTAGTCTTTCAGCACAAATAGTACAGCCGCTATGAAAATAGCAGGAAAAGAATATGTTGATTCAAGCGGGGGAAGGAAAGTTAGACCCAACAACACAGCACCAAGGGCTTAAGAGACCACATAGTCAATTCTCTGGCATTCAAAGTATAACAATATAGAGATAGCTTACAGAGGTTATTCGGTATAGCGGTGTCTGCATGGCATCTTGGACAGTCAGGATCGGCGCAAGGTTCTATTGCCATGGTTGCTAAGCAATAGCGCTGGCCAGCTAAGGGTTATTTATGGATGCCTATGGTGCGCGGGCCCAGAGTGAAATTTAGGCCATGTGTGAAATATAAAGTCAAAATGAAAAGCTAGGGTGCAGAGAGGATATTTAACGAAAACTGACCAGAGTTTCTCTATTATTGCCTTGAAATAATAGCTACAGCATGTCGTTCTTTGTTGTAATTTCTTTTGATTTGATAATTATTCGAGGCCAAGCCTTAATGCCCAGCTTGAGCCACACTTCGTTTTATGCTTCCGTCCGCATTAGCGTAGTCGATTGTAACCACACCCCTAGACCTTTTTTTTTAGCTACCATGGTTTGACAACATGAACACATGCTGTGGACATATCCCCATAATCTCAATGATTGCGAGGCTCAATTACAAATGCTACCTAGCTACCAGAAGCCTGAACTCACCCCCCTTCGCGTGCGCGATCCAAGGGCGTAACTAATACTACTTTGCTTTTTCCCACAGAAAGGCGCAGCCCGAAGGGACTTTTGGGTAGGTCCTCCATCTTCTAACTTGAACCAACCAATGGCATCTTTCGCCAGTTACTGCAATGATACATAGCCCCAGTATTTTCTATCATATTTCAAAAGAGTGCCTGCGTGGCAATAACGCTAATGCATTGCGGTTTAATTCATTGGAGAGAGTGTCTGTATGTCTCACAAAAAGCATTGCGTTGGGCTTATATATTAACACGTTGCCGAGGAAAAGGTCGCCCTGCTCGGCTAATCAGAATACGTGTTCGGTGGCCATCTCGACTTCGGTGATGATAGAACCAACCATGAATGTACACGTTGTGGCACGGACGTTGGGCGACAATGCATACATCGTTTAGCGTTGGCATAAATGCAATATGCATGTAAGTGTACATATGTAGCATGCAGTGGGACCAATAGGCGCGGCTGCCTCTGGGGGGCTAGTCATTGGAAAGCTGTAAAGCTACCTAAGATCCAGTCCAAGATCTCGTGGAATGCCTAATATCTAGTTCAAGATCTCGTGGAATGTCTGGTAGGCTTTGGCGGTGTAGGCAAAGTCGCTGCCAGTATAAAGCCCTGCCTCTATTAAAGAAGATCAGCCTCTGAAGCCACTAGTACTATCAGGGCCTTTTTGTGTGCTTAAGTGTGGACTATTATATTACATAGGTAGGAAGAAGATTGGGCTGAATATCGCACTTGTGGAAATTCTAGCTGCAGGACTTACTGCTTATAAAGCACTTGTGCTTAGGCTATTTATTGGTTAACAACTATCAAAATCAGAGAGTGTTTGTGAACCAATTCAACCTCATTGATAGCTGAGGCCTTGACCTCTCTAAATCGTCGACGTTGCTATCACATCTAGAGTCCACAAGGCAGCCAAGGTATAGATATAGATAGATAGGTTTGGTTGATTAGGCAGTCGGCCGGGAAAACACCTTTCCATTCACAAAAGCCAACTCTATCACGCTGGGCAATCTCACTCAAGGGTCGCTATTGACCTGAAAATGGCAACTGGAAAGTATGATATTCCTTTACTTCCTGCGCGATAGTAGCCAAGCAATTGCTGATTATGCATAACCAAGAAGAACGTATGATGACTACACTATAGGATGGGTAGCCACTATACCTTTTGGGGTAGCGGCATTTCGGGCGTTGTTGGACGAGGAACACGAGTCGCTTCCACCACAAGATGATCTTGACGGCAACAGCTATGTTCTTGGCCGGATGGGGGCCCATAATGTTGTTTTGGCATTTCCCGGAGAGTCCAAGAGTACCCTTGCTGCCGAAATTGTATCCAATATGGCCTATTCCTTTCCCAAAATTCAGTTGAGATTGATTGTGGGAGTAGGCGGTGGTGCTCCGCAGCCAGAACCCGATCCGAAGGAGGACATTCGACTTGGCGATGTTGTTGTTGGCTTTCCCAATGAAGAAAATAGTAAGCCTGATCGTTTCCATTGCCAAAATAGGTGCATACTAACGGTGAGATAGATTGCGTGGTGCAGTGGGAGAAGAGCACGGGGGAAGAGGGCAGTTTTGTGGCGAAATGTCATCTTAATGGGCCTCCTCCAGTATTCATCGAGGCAATTAAAGCGCTGAAATTAGTCCATGCGGCTGAAAATGGCAACATGCAGCGATACATTGATGAAGCCATCCAGTCAAATTCCCCCGGCATGGAAACCATCAAGTATCCGGGGCTCGAGAAGGATCGATTGTTTAAATCAGGCTACATGCATAAGACCTTGGAGCCAAAGAGTGCGAACAGTTGTGCGGCATGTAATAAGGAGAAAATCATTGAGCGAACACCAAGGGAACCATCGCATGTCATGGTTCATTACGGTCAGATCGCCTCTAGCAACAAAGTGATGAAGGCTTCTAAGAAGCGGGATTCTCTTAGAAAAGAGTGGGGGGTTCTCTGTTTCGAGATGGAGGCGGCCAATCTCACGAATGACTTGCCGTTTCTTCTCATCAGGGGCATTTGTGACTATTCGGACAGCCACAAGGATAATGAATGGCGGCCCTTTGCCTCTCTCACGGCCGCCGCATACGCCAAGGATCTCTTGATGGTGCTTCCGTCGCAGGAGGACGGGGTTATGCCGCCCGCAGCAGGATCTGCTGGGGAGGAATCTCAAGTGGGAAGGGGATTGGGTGAGGAAGAAGTATCTGAATCTAACAGAGGCTCTGAAACCGAGAGGGAAGCTGAGACAGAAAGAGATTCTGGGTCTGGAATGTCAGGAATGAGCGGAGAATCTAGTTCTGAAGGAGAACGGAAAGCCAGAGAGGAATCTAACACGACAGACGCAGGCATCAAAGCTGATGTAGCGCCCAGCTCTGGACGAGAAAAATCTGTGGAGGAACCAGAAGCTGCCAGAGGATCAAAAGCGCTGAAGAAGTCCAAAATGCTAGATACAACTGGAACAACGAAAGAGAATAAGGCGGACAAGTCTGAAATCCCAGGGGATGTTGGACTTGGTGGGGAGTCTAAGACAGAAGGGGGGTCTCAAACGGCTAACAACGCTGGACCCCAAATTGGATCTGGGCCATTGAAGAAATCTAAATCCAAAAAAGGTGGAACTGGGAAGAAACCTGGATCTGTACGAGTACAGGAAGCCGGACAAGAGACTGGATCTGCGACGGAATCTTTGGCTCCCCCCAAGGCACCCCCAAAAGAACCTGGAGCCAAAAAAAAGGCCGGAACCAAATCAAAAGGAGCCTCTAGGGTCACAAGAGAAGATGGCACTCTGGCAAAAGTTGGGACAAAAAAGAAGGCGAGAGATTCAAGCAGTGCTGTGACGACAGGTGGAGAAGCAATAGAAGCCATGACGATTGAGAAGATCGCAGAAGAGATCGAAGCTATGACGATCGAGAAGACTGAAGAAGCGATGGACGCGATGACAGTGGAGATGGCTGGAGAAACGGAAGCCATGACAATTGGGAAGGCTGAAGAAATGATGGAAGCCATGACAATTGGGAAGGCTGGAGAAATGATGGAAGCCATGACAATTGGGAAGATTGGAGAAGCGATGATAGATTCTCCGGCCAAAGGAGAAGCTCTCGTTGGTAGACTGGAACCCAAACAGGAACCCAAGCCCGGAGGTTACGAAACAAAAACAGCGTCCAACATCAAACAACGGGCTGCCATTTCGAGAGGCTCGGAAGCCCCAAGGAAAGCAAGCCTTGCGAGAGCCCAAGCGCAACCGAGACTCCATGAATATAGGGCAAGGTGCTGGACACTAGCAACAATACTTCCTGGTCCCCAATACTCCTCGACCACAGATCTCTCGGCGGCTGTGAGGAGCGGTAACCTATGGCTGCTGAGGATGATACTCCACACGGGCGTTGACCCCAACAAGGCGGAACAACCTGGCGGCCAGAGTGCGCTGCACGAAGCAGCGTACTGGAACCATCCCAATGCAGCCAAGATTATCATGGGGTTTATGGGTACATGTACTATTCATGCAAAGAATCACGAGGGACTGACAGCGATTGATGTGGCAAGGAAGCGGGGCAGTGAGGATGTCGTTAGATTGCTGGAGGCTTATATGTGATCTCGTAGTAATGTCAATTCTTCTTCCACATATAGGAACTGTCTCTGTTTCGCGCTCGCAGCTGCGATTGGCCCGTTAACGACAGGGGCTGTCTGTCTACATGTATGAGGGAGAACTAGGCCCTGTAAGCCAGGACGGAAGACACCCTCCCTTACTTTTGATGCCAGAGACATTTCAAGTGGAACTCTTCAGCTGGCGTACCGTTCAGGCTAGCGTGCGGCTCCTCTAGTGCCCAAGGTGGAGCCTTGGGCCGTTTTCCGAGACATGACTAGATCTCTCTGGGGTGATTACTATCTACATGTATGTTATTATCGTTTCCGCAGCATTGGTTAGCCTACGAAGACGCCTTGCTGTTTTCGTAACTTACATGAAGCTCTTTAAGGCGCCTTGCCGTTTGCCTATGGCAACTATTAGGCATAACTGCAGGTGCTCTAGAACGACCATAAATAGTGGACAAATGCATCCGGCAAGCAGCATGCCTTTACTACATGCAGTCTGTGTCAACTTCTCGTTGGACTCAACTTGATGTCTCGCCTTGGTCTCGGTTGCAGTTCCCCGTTAAGTATCCTATTTTGACCCTTTGCACTTTGGCAGACTTTGAGAACCTTGCATTTCGCTGGCCGCCACCTATACTTTGTACCAATTCATTTCCCGGTCCTTTGATGTCTATCCCCCTCTCTCTCCCGGAGCTGCCAGCATGGGCGGCACAGCTAGCGGGCATTCTGCCGCTCACAAGTCTGGTCGAGTTGGTTGATGCCTCGGAAAAGCTGCATTCGCTCGAGCTCGCTGCCGCGGTGCCTCTGTGGAACTGGCCCGTCACGCCGGCCATGGCCCGATCCCTGTTCTCCAACGACAACGCCGACGCGTGCTACCTAGACTCTGTGAGACAATCCCAGACCTTGCACTGCATTGACGGTCGTTATGGTGACCTGTACCCGTCCAGCACCCCCACCACGTCACTCATGTGTGGACAGACGAAGAGGCCGGCCACGGTCGTCGCCAATCCGTGGCTTGACAGGGAGACGCCTCGCGGACGCAGACAGAAACTCAAGGTGATTGTATTGATGGAGAAGCTCGACCGGCCCCAGCCACGCCTTTCCATCTCCTCCAGTGCCCACCTTTGGATGTCTATCCTCGGATGGCTCTGTTGGGCTGGTGCTGGCATCACCTCCCTCTACGCCCGGTTGTATATAGCTGCCGCATACCTGGCCCTCATGCCGCTGACGGGTGCCACCATTGGCCTCACGCACGGGGATGCTCCACGCCAGCTACTGGATAACAACACTCTCGACCACGCGCGCATGGTCATTGCGACCTACAGTCTAAACGGGACTGCCTGGTGCGCCTTTTACGGCGAGAGCAAGCTGCTCAACACTCTGCTAAACAGGCCGCTCTGCCGTGTCGACGCCGGGCCGTCGGGCCGCTTCCCCCTCGGGCTGCTGTTGCGGCTCCTCATCGCGGGCCAATGGGTGCTGAGCGTGGGATCATGCGCCCTGCGGGACTGGAACGCCATAGTCATCTTCGCGTGGCTCATGTTCTGCATGCTCTACAGCGCGTTTGTGTACCCTCTGCGGGTGTGTGTCCAGGACTGGCTGCGACAGAGCTGCAATCTGAGCGCCGAGTGCATCGACGTCGAGTTCACGACGCGTAGGTCCATGCTCTCCGCACTCGTCTGCCTCAACCCCGACACTAAGGAGAAACGCACTGCGTGGATCGATCCAATTCTTCGCCAGTCCGAAGACCGAGACTCGTGGCAGAGAGAGCTCCTGAATTATATACTTACCAGTGAGAGAAACCGGACCTGTTACTTGAAATCATGCTGACAAAAGCTCCCGGCAGAGAGGACCCCAGGTGATGCTATAGTGAATCAGTATTGGTGGAAATTCATCGAAGAGGGCTACAATGCTGGGGACAGGATAAAGGACAAGATCGAACACATTATGAGATTAAGCGTTTAGCGACCACAGTTGGGCGGATGACCCAAGAATGAGACATTTACCAATCATTGTCTTACATGTAGACGTGGGCAGCGTTAAGAATAGGCCTAGACGATAACAATAATATACTATTGCCCCTCCCTTATTGTGTCTAAAAGACGCTGCAAAATTAAGGAAAATAAGGAAGAGGGCAAATTGGGGGGTGAGAGAAGTGTTTGACCGACAGCGAGCCCCGTATTCTCCATGTCGTGGCCTTGCTGCCCAACGCTGGCAGATCAGCCTATCATCCAAAGTTCTTATTGTATATATGTAACAGCAGAGACACTTTGGCGATGGATTTTTTCAGCAGAAGCAGCTGTGTTTTCTTGTCACTATATCCTGATTTGCCCCCCCGGTCGATGACTATGGCCCAACGCACCCTTAGTCGCGATGCCTACACTGTAGGATGGATCTCCGCCCTCTCCGTTGAGTTTGCTGCTGCGGAGCAGCTGCTCGACGAAGAGCACGGCGACCTTGCTCTAGATCACGACGACGATACCCTCTACACGCTGGGTAGCATCGGTAAGCACAATGTCGTAATTGCGTGCCTGCCGGCTGGCTCCACGGGCACTAATTCCGCCGCCGCGGTTGCCACCCGGATGAAGGCCCAGTTTCCCTCGATTCGCTTCGGCCTCATGGTCGGTATTGGAGGAGGCGTCCCAGGGGCCATAGCGGACATTCGCCTCGGCGACGTAGTCGTGAGCCAGCCGTCAGCGAGGAGTGGAGGTGTGATACAGTACGACTTTGGGAAGAGCACGCCGGACGGGTTTGCGAGAACGGGCTTCCTCAGTCCTCCGCCGACGATCCTCCTCAGCGCGCTGGCCAAGATGCAGGCGCAGAGCCTCCGAGGGAGAAGCGTCTTTGCGTCGCACCTGTCGCGGTTCGACAGCCTCTCCGAGTTTAGGCGTGACCACGCGGGGCCCGACCAGCTGTTTGAATCCAGTTATGACCATGTGGGTGGGCCTACCTGTGAGGGCTGCGACCAGAAACAACTGGTCAAGCGGACGCCGGGTAGGGGAGAGAATCAGGTCAAGGCTCATTATGGCACAATTGCCTCTGGGAACTTGGTGATGAGGTCCGGTCGGGCACGAGACAAGCTGAGCTCCGAGCTGGGAGACGTGCTCTGCTTTGAGATGGAAGCTGCCGGGCTTATGAATGGCTTCCCAAGCCTGGTGATTCGAGGTAGGGACGGCCTGTCCACATAGGCGTCGCATATCATGAGTGTGTTAACGGATGGCGGGTCTAGGCATTTGCGACTATGCAGACTCGCACAAAAATAAGACGTGGCAGCCATACGCGGCGGCGACAGCAGCAGCCTATGCCAAGCAGCTCCTCCTCACAATCCCCGGCACAGTCCACGCTCAGGGTCATGAGCCAGACAGAGGACCGACAATAAGCAGTGACAGGCGGGTTCGTACCGAACCCTTGCCCAACGTGCGTGTTTCTGCGGGCGACAATTCGGGGTTCATTGTGGGAGCAAACTATGGGAATATCAGTGGAACCAGCTTGTTGGGTCGATTTCATTAATTCTTTTTATAGATGATGATTTATCATTGCGGGAAACAATTGTTGGAAAAAGGCAGCTGTAATAAATAGGACGCTATTTTCAGGCATGTGGGCATATAACTTTACGGATGTTATCAAACCTCGCTCACTCAGTCTAACAGCTTTTATTCTAAGCTCTCTTGCTTCTTCCTTACTAGAGCTCCCCCCTCCGCTATACTCGCAAAACTAGCAGCTCTTTTCAACTCTCCTACCTTGATTGAAATAGGCTTATAATAATCCCTGTCAAGCGATTAACTAAGGTAACTCCCACCTTGTTGATCCTTTTGAAATGACTAAAGAATTGCACACCTATCCTTTACTCTAGCACTATAGCCGAAGCCCATTGAGTGGGGAAATGAATAGAGCACCACATATGATATATTTTATTTAACAAGTCTCCTATCAAGTTGTGTATTTTCGCAACAACTTATTATAGCGTTGTTATGAAACCGCCATCTTCTGCCCATTATCGATTTTGGTGACTGCTGGTAGAAACCGGGCCGGTTTCTCAGTAACACAGTAGACAAAACAGCACAGACTATATGTAGACACCACATGTTGGATATCACGGGGGACATTATGAGGGCTACAACTCTCTCTGTGTGTATTTGTTGTGGTGTGTAGTGTGTAGGATCTAGCGTTCCATGTGTACATTGGGCACCTCTTGTAGCCCTAACGCCATGATCCTGGTTGAAACCTTGATCCCAACCGCTGTGATTTCTGAGGTCCTCTTTGCCTAACTGTGATGTTGCTGTAATTACCCATCTGATAGATACAGGATGTATTAGTAGTGCTGGCGATGACCCATTCACCGTTGCTCTCGTCATTCAGCCCCTTGAAATGCCACTGGGAATTTCTTATGATAGATTATCAGCCTGCTTTGCTCTTCTCGTCAAACCACTGTGACGGTTCCGCCGAAAGGGCCGAGCTCAGCAAGGTGATGACGGCCCTGTGGCCTCGCTGCGACGCCCTAGTCAGGGCCGTGTGGCCATCCAAGTCGGTCGCGCCGGCGGCAGCCCCGCGGGAGAGCAGGAGCAGCGTGGTAAAGTCATTCCCACGCTCAGCTGCGGCCATCAAGGCCGTCTCGCCGCGAAGGCCGCGCGCGTTGGCATCGGCACCATGGTCGAGCAGCAGTTGGACGACGGGTGCGTGGTCGGCCGTGGTGGCTGCCATGAGCGCGTCCTGCCCCCTGAACTGGTCCTTGGCATCGACGTCGGCGCCAGACGCCAGTAGCAGCTCGACCACGGCTGAATTCCCACGCCGCGCCGCTCTCATCAGAGCCGTGCCCTCCTCCCAGCTGTTGACGTTGATGCCGGCGCCGCGCTCCAGCAGAAGCCGCACCACCGCCTCCTGATCCCTATCGACGGCCCTCATCAGTGCCGTCCTGGCGGCCCAGTCCCGGGCATCGATCTCGGCGCCGCGGTCGAGCAGCAGCCGCACGATGGACTCACGCCCCTCCTCCGAGGCCGTTATCAGCGCCGTGTCTTGTTGCGGAGTGCTCCGGGCATCGATCTCGGCGCCGTTGTCCAGGAGTAGGCAGATGAGCTCCTCGTGGTTCCGCTCCACCGCGCGCGTCAAGGCCGTCCATTTCCGCGAGCGATCCTGCGCATTGACCTTGGCGCCGAGGGCGATCAACCGGCTCGCCGCCATGGCGTGGCCTCCTTCGACCGCCAGCATCAGTGGTGTCACGCCAGCCTCATCGTTGACGTTTGTGTCGGCACCGCTGCCGAGCAGCAGCTCCATCACCGTCGCGTGATTCTGCAGGACGGCTCTCATCAGGGCCGTCCGTCCGTCCATGCAGTCCCGCTTGTCGGGGCTGGCTTTGTGCTCCAGCAAGAGACGAACTACGGCGTCCTGCTCCTCGTCGCGCTCCGTAGCCCACATGAGCGCCGTCCGGCCGCCGCCTCTCTCCTGCCGGTCGACGTCAGCGCCGTGCCCGAGGAGCTCCTCAACCACTGTCGCGTGCCCTGCCTCGGCGGCCATCATCAGCGCTGTACGTCCGCCGCGCCTCTCTTGGCCATTGACATGGGCGCCGTGCCCCAGCAGCTGCGCGACAATGGCCCTGTGCCCGCCCGCGGCGGCCATCATCAACGCCGTCTGCTCATCGAGCCTCTCCCGCTTGTGGACGTCAGCGCCGTGGCCGAGCAGCGTCCGGACTATCGCGGCGTGGCCTCGCCGTGCCGCCCTCATCAGCGCCGTCTGTCCCCAGAAGTCCTGGCTGTCGACCTGCGGCGCCCGCTTCAGCAGCGCCTCCACGACGGCTTCGTGACCCTGCTCCGCCGCAAGCCCCAGCGGCCTTCGCTTCCGGTTATCCTCGGCCTCCACGTCGGCGCCGAGATCGAGTAGGCGCCGCACAATCTCCAGGTGTCCCTGCCTCGCCGCCTTGCCCAGCGCCGTCTGCCTCCTCTGATCCTTGGCGTTGACGTCCACTCCATGCTTGATGAGCAGGTCCGTGACTCCCTGATGGCCCTGCGCTGCCGCCCACATGAGCGTGGTCCCGCCCCGGCCGTCCTTTGCGTTGGCATCGGCGCGGTGGCGAAGGAGCAGCTCTACCATGTCCTGGTGCCCTCCGCTCGCGGCGCAGTGGAGGAGCGTGCGGCCGAGGTCGTCGCGCTCGGTGATCTTGCGGCTCCAAAACCTCCAGGCGTCGTCGGTCAGCGTCTTTTCGACAAACGACTTGATCCCGAAGTGAGCAGCCACGTGCAGCCACGACATCTTCCCCCCGGGCGGCGCATCGTCCGCTCCCGGCTCCTTGGTCCTGCGATACACCTGCCACCAGCGCAGCCCCAGGGGAGAGCCGTCGCGGAAGAAGGGTCGCGACCGCTCCAGGACCTTGTTGGCGTGCTGCTTCGACTGCCGAGCGTGCTCTGGCCAGTACATGATGGCATATTCCCGGAGCGGCGATGGGCTTTGCGCCTCACTCTGCTCCAGGCAGCTCAGGCAGTGCCTGGCGAGCTCGAGGTGCGCCTCCTCAGGCCGGATACCAAACGGCTTCGCGGCGCCCAGCAGATAGTCCCTGGCCGACTGGTGGACGAGATGGACGGCGTCGTCGTGAATCCTCAAGAGTTCCTCACAGCAGACCACCTGCTCGCGGCACGCCTGGAGGCTGCTGATAAGGTATCCCGGCCCACCACCACCGCATCCCGCCAGCCCTCGCAGCTCCTGCAGCTCTTCAAGCCGCAGCGGGCGCATCGCCGTAGCGACCCAGCGCAGGAGCCGCGCGCTCTCGTCCTGCTGCTGGGGCGTGATCTGGTCTAGGATGCGAGAGTAGATCTTGTCCAGGCCCTTGGGCAGACTGTGTATTGTCTCCCATACCTCCTGGCTCGTCTTCTTCTTGGCCAGCTCCTTCAGAATTAGGCCCACCCAGAGAAACGTGCCGTCCGACTTGGCCTGGAGCATGTCACACACCTTTAACGCAATCCCGTCTAGGCGGGAAAGCCTTCTGACGCCGTCGGCGATGCACCGCTCGATGTCGCTGGCTAGCGGCTTGTCGTTGTTGGGATCGAGCCGCAGCCGGGTGAAGCCCCCCAGGCCATCCATCTCCCGGCTTAGCACCAGCAGCCGGAACCGCCCTGCGCTCGACCGCGCCTGGCCCTCGAGCTCCGTCAGCAGCCAGCCCGCCGACTCCCTCTCGCACTCGTCCAGTCCGTCCAGGACACACTGGACCGTCTGGAGCGCTAGGTCGCCGAGGATCCTCTCGAAAATGTGCCAGAGCGTGTCGAACGAGGCTAGCGAGCTCACCACGTGGCTAGGCTTCAGGTAGTAGGAGGCGTGCTTGGCCAGGCCTGGGTGCTGCTCGATGAGCTGGAACAGTAGCCCGCTGAGGATGGCGACCGCTGTGTTGCGGTCCGCCTCGTTGCTCGAGCTGAAGAAGAACAGCAGCGTCACCAAAGGCTCCTGCCTTGCCCGTGCTTCGAGCTCCTCGACTACAAAGATGGAGAGCATTGTCTTACCCATGCCAGGACCCCCGCTGATCCAGAGCAAGGGCGTATCCGAGCTCGGCTGGGAGCAGGTCGACCACGAGCGATAGAGCACGTTGTTCCGGATCCATTCGCAAGTCCCGGGCACCCTCCTGCCGTTGATGCGTATCAGCCTCCGGCGATCCATCTCGGGATTGTGGAGGTTGTCACGGCATATCCCATCGTGATCCGCATCTGCTAGTATAGGATACATGTAAGCAATTCGGCTTATACACCTCTCTGGTGGCATCTTTTGGTAAAAAGATGCCGAGAGCTCAGCCTGAAAGAATTGGTTCATCTGCCCCGCCATACAACAACATCTCCAAGGCTGCTTACCTTCATCACTGGACGTGCTCGGTTTGTGAAGGTGCACATGCAATTCCCCGTGGTTCGTTCCAAGCAATAGTCCATGGTTGCTCTGAGCTGAGGCCGAGACATTAGCGGCGAGAGCTCCTATATCCATTCTCAGTAGCGCAAGGTGGAATAGAGGTGGAGTTTACAACAAACTCGGCCTTGGGTATGTCAGAGTAGAACGTAAACGCTCTAATATCAGCCCTAAGCAAATAGGAAGGGAGATATTCCTGTCTCACGTTGTAGAGGTCGCTCGCATATTATTACTACCTATATAAATATGTAGTCTATGTGGGCTAAACTTTTGCCATGCAAGGGAACTGGTATTATAAAGCTAACCTGGCCCTTGTTCTTAATTGCAGGTGTAGTAGTAGTAGCCATCTCAAATACATGTAATCATATAGCGTGTGATTGGCCGCTTTGATCGCCCCCATTCCCCATCGTGGATTGATTGGTGTGGACACGGGAAGACGCTCAGCCGTCTCTCGTCGGGCATCAATAATATCAACTTCAGCAGACGTTGCATGGCACAGAGTGGTAAGAGTATGTCGTTCATCATATAGGTAGCCAATGGGGCTTCCCGCTCGGTGTGCTATGCACGAGTATTCTCTCTGCCTCAGCCAACGATTCACAGCTCCGCAGCGGACTATTACTATTAGATTGTTTATGCAAGTTTAGGGGCCATAGGAGTACCTGTCTAGATCAGGGTAGAAAACTTTGGGCATCTACGATATGTGGATACATGGCTGGCACAGATATCTGGTTATTGGACGGTGCGTTTGCATGATGGATACAAGAATATGTAGAGAAGAATTACTACCCAAGCATGTAAAAAGGATAAAAAGACATTATTCAGAAAAATGATAAGTGGAAGGAGCAGAAGACAGAGATCATCACACTCATCAATACATCTTCGTTCTTGCTTGTTATTCTGACGTTGTATGACATTGTTTTGGTTTGGTCTGTCCACGATCTAACAATTACCACAAGCCATGTCCCTAGTCGGCACCTTATTGGCCGAATCATCGGATGAGATCGACCTCAAGGCCGATTATGACTGTCTCTTGGACCTGCAGGAGCAGGACAAGTCCGAGTCTGCTCCGCCGCCCGTGCCCATCACGGTCGCCGAGGCGTTCGCCTACCACAAGATCCTGACCGGGCCCATTGACAGCGACCAGGACGATTCGGATTCCGACGATGACGCCGAGTACAATCGGGCGACAAGGGGCGAGCGAGGCCAAGACTCGGCACCGGCTACGGCGCTGATCAAGGTGGGCCCCCACGACGCTCTCCTGGCCGTTGCCGAGCCCACCGACGACGACTCAGCCTGCGGCAATGGAGCGCCTCACGATCATATGTGGGCGGGTAACCCCTCGTTCCGGTTCACGGAGCCCGAGGTGGGCTTCCTGTCGCATCTCGCCCACCTCTGCATCGAGGCGCGACTCCAGAAATGCCTGAGGAGCTCGTGTCTCGAGGAGAAGGTCAGGATGGACAGGGTCGCTCCGGACTGTCGGTGGGCGGCCTTCCGGGAGTGGGCGCTCGTCTCCATGTCGTGCCAAGCCAGCATGCGGGAGAAGAACGAGCTCTCGCAGGCACACACACACATCGCCAGGGCCATCTCGGGCTGCTGCATGACGCTCAAGGCCTACCTCGACCACAGCCGAGAGCGGTTTCTGCCCTTTCTCGACGGCGCGGGCGTGGAGGAGCACCGGGTCGACCTGGCCGAGGTGGCCAACGTCATCTACTGGATGGCCAAGATCCAGTCGCAGATCGGCATCGGGCCGCGGCGCTTCGGGGCCTGGGACCACCGGCTGCTGCCGTCGACAGTGTCGCTGCCGTCCATCGAGCGGGCGGCATACGAGGTCGAGGCCATGGGGCTCTGCAAGCAGCGGCTCTGGAATCTGGTCGGCATCAGCGACCGGCGGCAGAGCGACCTGCCGGACATCATCAAGGCCCTGCGGCCGCACAGGGACAGTCTGCGCCACGAGAGCCACGACTTCTGCACGCCGAGCAAGTGTCAGTGGTCGCACATGAACAGCTCCTCGGTCCGGCAGCTCCACAAGTGCGGAGCGGTGGAGCCCCGGGAGCCGTCCGGAGGCCGGAAAGCGGCCCGGGCGGCAAAGGCGTGCGCGCAGCGGCTGTTTTCCGTCGAGCTGCTGGAGACGGCCGTGGAGCTGGGCAACAGCACCGCCTGGCTCTGCAGCGGGCTCCGGCTGAGCGGGCCCAGGGACGCCTACATTGCCGTCTCCCATGTCTGGTCCGACGGCACGGGCGTTGGCGTCCAGGAGGTCGGGACGGTTAACTCGTGCCTGTTCGACTTCTTCTCCGGCATCGCCAAGGAGCTCGGCTGCAACGGGCTGTGGTGGGACGCCCTCTCGATCCCCTACGAGCCGCGGGCGCGCAGCAAGGCCCTGAACCAGATGCATGCCAACTACGCCAACGCCCGGTATACCGTTGTCCACGACAGCTACCTGATCAACTTCCCGTGGAGCGATGACGGCAGCCCGTGCCTCGCCATCGTGCTCTCCACCTGGTTCACGCGAGGCTGGACGGCGCTCGAGCTGGCCATGTCCAAGAGAGTCAAGGTCCTCTTCGGAAACCCGGACCCGAGCGAGAAGGACCCGGTGATCAAGGATCTTGACGAGGACGTGCTCGCCGCCTCGCCCGCCGTGGCGTCGCGTGCGCACTGGCTGGCGACGACGCTGATCCGCCGGCTCCGCGCCTCCATCAACGATGTCGGCGACCTGCTGGCCATCCTGTCCCCGCGCAGCACATCTTGGGCCCGGGACCGCACCATCATCGCCGCCCTGCTGACGGGCGTCCCGGACTGCGACTTCACCGTCGGCGAGAGCATCATCACGTCCAAGATCCTCGGGTACCTGGGCAAGATTCCCTACAGCTGCATCCTGCACGGGAAGCCGACCATGCGTGACCGCGGTGAGTTCTCATGGTGCGCGGCCACGCTCGATGATATGCCACCGGGGACGTCGTCCGATGTGGGCGGCGGCGCCGGCTCGAGGTCGCGAGCCCTGCTGGACCTTGATGAGAACGGAGCCATCGAGGGGCCGTTCCATGCCCGGTGCCTCGAGCCGGGAGAAGTTGACGTTAACATCAAGCCCTTCGGCAACGACCTCGCGGTGGTGGTCAAGGTTAACATTGCCCTCCGGCATCACGAGCGTTGTCTGCTATTGCGACAGGATCCGAGCGCCAGGGAGCCCCTCGCCCTCCTGGTCGTGCCCATCAGCATCATCAGGAACGGCCCCGTCCTAAAGTGTCGCTACATTGGCACCGTGACCGAGACGCACGACGCCGAAGCCTTTGACGCCGATGACTGGTTCAAACTGAACGTTCGGCTTGGCGGCAGCGATAGCCACCACAGGGGCATGCGAGCCGACAAGGCGCTGGAGATGTATGACGACTTCTGCGATGTCGTATGCGACGAGCAGGACGACAAGTCTGTAAGGGGAGACGAGGGGGACGACGACGACAACGGCGACAACGGCGACGGCGGCCGCGGCGGCGAGCAGGGCGATGATCTCGCCTCGGTGCAGACGCCCATGCAACAGGAAGGGCCGCCTGAGAGCCCTCCGGAATGGCCCATCGTCAACATCTGGCCCGGGCGGGAAACCAGACAAAAGGCCAACGAAGAACACCACGAGAGGGGCCTCATCCTCGCCATGACCAAGAGGAACGAAAATGCGGCCCGATATCTCGTCAAGAAAAAGGTCGCCCTCCAGCTCGACGACCTGGAGGCCATCCGTACTCTCTGCAAGGATCATCCGACGGTGACCACATCCGGCATGAAGATGCTGGGGGACATCTACGTGGAGAATGACAATCTCCAAGCGGCCAGCTACATCTATCGCTACGTCATAGAGACATACGAGGCCATCGAGGCCAAGGACAGCCAGCAGCTCTTCCAGCTCTATCAAACCAAGCACTCTCTGGGATGTGTCCGCTTCGGGAGGGGGGAGGTCATAGAGGCCAAGGGGCTATTCGAAGACGTGCTGGCCGGGTGCGATGAGAGAAAGAAGAAGATGGAAAGGGAGAGCAAGAGGCCGGTGCGGTTCAGGGCAGGCACTGCGAAGAAGGAGGCTGCTCAGGGCCAGGACGCCCCATCAGCCGCGCCGGGAAGCCCAGTAAAGCTCAGCAACGAGGCCAAGGCCAACCAGGGGTGGTACCGGCTGGAGCTAGACTCCATCACGGAGTTGACGCTCCTCAAGGTCGGAGGGGCCGACTTCAGCGGCGCCGCCAAGACGTACCGGCGAGCGCTCAGGAGGTTCGGCAACGCGCCAAAGGAGATCGAAGCCTTCGAAGGCCTCTGGGTCGGCCGCATGTCGCAGGTGTTCAAGGAGAAGAGCAGGCGGGATGAGCGGGCGGCCGGCGTCTACCAGCGCGCGCTCAAGCGATTCGATACCATGTTCCGCAAGAACCATTTGCTGATCCCCATCACCGCCCTCCATCTCGGCGTCAACTGCATGCTCAGGTCCAAGTTCGCCGACGCCCAGCTCTACCTGATGCGCGCGCTAGCCGGCTTCTTCGAGCGCTTCGGTCGTCCCCTGAGGGACGGCGAGACGGCGCTGGAGTATCAGATGGAGGACGAGCGCGAGCACATCATCCTGGTGCTGGTCAGGTACCACCTCGGCCTGCTCTTCACCAAGCAGCAGAAGTTCGACGACGCCCAGAGGCAGCTCGATCACGCGCTAGCCGTCGTCACCAGGGCCAACAATGCCGGCACCGACGTGCTGCGGCTGTCCATCCTCAACGCGCTGGGCCAGAACAGCCTGTCCAGCCGGCCGCCGAGACTAGACATGGCCGAGGGATACTTCTCACAGGTCGAGTCCCAGTCGCAGGGCCACGCAGAGCAGGAAGACATGATCCGCCTGAGCATCCAGGCCAAGCTGGGCCGCGCCAGAAGCGTCTATTCCACCGGCAAGAACGGCATGGACAGCGCGGTGAGGCTCCTCAACGCCATCATTGAGCAGCTAGATAAAATCAGGACGGAGGCGGGAAACGACCTCGACGAATGCCAGGTCAGGCTCTTCCTCGGCAGGGTATTCGAAGACAAGAGGAAGCTCCCTGACGCCGCGAAACGGGTTGACCTGGCGCTCAAGAGCCTCAAAGTCTTGGAAGGGGAGGAGAGCCTGACCTACCTAGAGGCAGCGAGCAAGCTGGGAGAAATATACGAGAGGCTCGATGAGACGGACGAGGCCGAGACCCTCCTCCAAATGGCCGCAGACAAGTTGAGGGGGAGCGTTGGCGCCTACCACCCCCAGACGCTACGGGCAAGCTGGCTGCTTGGCAAGGTGTACTTGGCCCAGAGAAGACTCGAGGAGGCCAGGGAGAAGGTCGAGTGGGCGTACCAGGGATCCGAAAAGGCGTTGGGGGGCAGCCACAAGCAGACCGCGAGCACGGCCCAGACGCTGGGCACCATCCACCTCGAAATGAACAAGCTCGCCGAGGCGCAGGAGATGTACAAGAAGGCCTACACTGGATTCAAGAACATGGCTGCGAAATCCAACGCCAAGGCGCAAGAAGAGGGAGGGCTAGAGAGTAAACTGACGGACAAGACCACGCTGCTGGCTCTCATGGACTACGCAAAGGTCTGCGCCCTGATCCCGGGCAAGCGGTCCAAGGCCACCGCCCTGAGCAAGTACAAGCTCGCAGTGGAAGGCTTCGCCGCTCTCGACAGTGGAGATGCGAACCACAAGGGCGACGCCCACCTGCACCTACTCGAGGCTAAACTCAATCTGGGCTGCGTCTACCGGGAGATGAGGAAGTTTGACGAGGCGTACGAGCAAATCCGGGAAGCTCTCGCCGGCTTCCTGAGCCTGAGTGAACCAAGCCCCGGGAGGCCGGAGACGGAAGTCGAGACGAGGGCGGCCACGGCCGCCAGGACAAAGTGGTTCGAGGCCCGGCTCCGCCTCGGGCAGCTGAAGCTAGATGCGTCCCACCAGCAGCACGAGGCGCAGGAGGGGCAGGACGAAGGTGAGAGCGCCAAGGAACTGATACGGGGGGGCCGAGATGGTCTTAGGGACCTACTTGGGAGCGCCCACATGCTCACGCTGGAAGCGTCGACCTATCTTGGTAATCTCTATATGAAGGAGGGAGAAGAAGGAGGAGTAGAAGGAGAAGGAGGAGTAGAAGGACAAGGAGAGGGGGGGGGTGGAGAAGGGGAGAGAGAAGGAGAAGAGCAAGAGATGGGCGACGTTCTGCTCCGAGACGTCCTACGCTGCTACGACACCGAGACGAAGCTGCCGGTCGGCCATCCGAAGAAGATCCGCATCATGGACTCCCTCATCAGCCACTATCACCATGTCGGTGACATGACGGAAGTGGGGAAGATGGAGGAGAGGAAGTGGAAGGAGCTCAAGGACGCCTACGGCATGGACCAGGCCGCCATCATCATGGACGTCACCGACTGGAAGCACATGAACCACGATCGGGACGACGGCGGCAGCGTCGAGGAGAACGACGACCCCGATGACGGCGACGACGAAAGGCACCACGGTTACTACGATGCCTGGGATCACCACGGCTCGGTCTCGTGGGACTCGGACAATGACTGGGAGGAAGGGGGGGAGAAGAACCGAGGCGACGATAAAGAGCAGAACCAAGATGGTGTAGTTAGGTCGAGGGAGGAAGAGGAGAAGGCCAAAACGAGACACGTTACTAAACCAGATGAACATCAAGATGAAGGAAACAATGCAGCAGAAGTCGATGAAGAGAGTGAAGAGGAAAGAGGAAATGAATCGAAAGATATAAAGCGAGGAGATGAAAATAAGAAAAAGGATGAAGGGGATAAAAGTACAATGGGTGAATTGAATAAAGATAATAAAGAGGACGTTGAGAATGGAGAGGGTGGAGTGGATAAAGAGAATAAAGAAGATAAAGAGGGTGAAGAGGGTAAAGAGAGTGAAGAGGATGAAGAGGATGAGGAGGATGAGGAGGATGAGGAGGATGAAGAAGATGAGGAGGATGAAGAGGATGAAGAGGATGAAGAGGATGAAGATGATGAAGATGATGAAGAGGATGAGGAGGATGAGGAGGATGAAGATGATGAAGATGATGAAGAGGATGAAGAAGATGAAGAGGATGGAGAAGATAAAGGTGATAAAGGTAATGAAGAGGATGAAGATGATGATGATGATGATGATGAAGAGGATGAAGAAGATGAAGAGGATGGAGAAGATAAAGGTGATAAAGGTAATGAAGATGATGAAGATGATGAGGAGGATGAGGAGGATGAGGAGGATGAAGAGGATGAGGAGGATGAAGAGGATGAAGAGGATGAAGATGATGAAGATGATGAAGAGGATGAGGAGGATGAAGATGATGAAGGAAATGAAGAGGATGAGGAAAATGAAGAGGATGAGGAAAATGAAGATGATGAAGAGGATGAGGAGGATGAGGAGGATGAAGAAGATAAAGAGAGTAAAGTGGTTAAAGTATAGGAGATTAAAGAGGACTATAAGATAGCTAAAAGTAATAATCCTATCCTCTTTCACTAGCAAAGAAATAAACCTAGTACGCCCTTGCGCCTTAGTGTATTTTAGTAAGGTAAGTATTACTTTTAATATAGTAATATATAAGAGAGTCTAAGACTAGTAAAGAGTACATTTAGAAAATAGTGCAATAGCTCTATTTGGTATTATAAGCTAGATTAGGAGAGGTTAGTGTTATTACATTAGCGCTGTAAGTCTTATCTTTAAAAAACAAAAGCATATGCCTCTAATCTTCAGCCCTAGACACCCAAATATAGCAGACTTAACTCATCCCGGAAGATCATATAAAAGAGTGGCATTTATGGAGTCTTCTATCCCTCTTTAGAAAATAAGTAAGGCAAAAACATTATGATTCTATACCTAGTACTTGGTTAAGCCTCCTCTGTGTATGTATAGATATTATTATCTCATACAGAACGCATCAACCGTTATCTGTTAAAAAAACAAATAGCTTCTTCTCTCTCATACTTAAATGAAACAAAATCTCACAAGGTCAATCATACTGTTCCACTTTTGCATTGTTCGTGTCGCTATTATGCCGTTGATGTTACTGATGTCTTTGAAGCTTTCTACCTCTGAGTTCTTTTCCACCCCCTCACTGCCCGTATACCTAATTCTAAGTGTGTCAAGGGTTATTATAGGTAGAAACTACCATAATCGATGTACCGCGTATTAATGTGTGAAGTTTTCTTCATCCGGGCTAGTATGTCGATACTGGATTTCTTCATCTTTTTAGTGGTCTTCTTGGCTGATGAGAAAACGTAAGATGACACCTCTAGACGGCTGTATAATCATTTAAATAAAAGCTCAAATGTATATTGAAAATCTTTTTAAGGGCTATAATGTAGCTATATAATACTCGCCCTGTCTCGTTTCAGGCGTGACATCCCACAGCCCAATTTTCCGCAGCGTCTCTTCATCCACCCCCATTTCACCACCAAGATACTTTACAGTTTCCGCTCTCCCCTCCCTCCATTTCTCAGCCGTCTTCTTCAACCCCAAGACGCATTTATCAGGATGTCTCCCCAAGCGGAGACATTCCACCGCCCGCTCTTTGCTCGTAGCCCCAATCATGGCAACGAGCAGCTCTGTAAGTCCATGGAACGCAGCGGCGGCAAAGGCACTGCCGTAATGCCCTCTTTCAAACACCATTGTCGGATCAGCACCAGCTTTGAGCAACATGTCCAACGGCTCTTTCAGGATGTTGATGTCGTCAAAGTTGAGACAAATTAGCGTTTCCAATGCGCTGCCATACCGGCTTTTCTTCAAGGGCTTGTTGGCGTCTGCGCCGTTGGCGAGTAATAGCTGGACGATTTCGACGAGTTCCTGCTCGTCAAAGACATAGCTAGAAGCTGCTGCGTCAAGAGCAGTGTCGTATTTGCCGCATTCCACAGAAGCGTTTGCGTCTGCACCGGCCTTGAGCAGAATCTCAACTGACTGTATGTTTAGCACACAGGCGGCTGCAATCAAGGGGCTGCCAAACTCTGTGACGCTCTCCCTATTCGCGTCTACCCAGCCTTGGTCTATCAGCCATTGCAGCTTTTCAGGGTTGGTTCTCGCAGCCTGTTGGACGAGAGTCTCGGTATATCCGCCATGTACATTGTTGATGTCGATTGTCGCCTCCGTCATCAGCAAGGTTGCGACATCCCACTGTTCATAAGCCATGGCTTTGTCCACGGCTTTGCATCTTTCAGATGGCGAGTAATCTGTGCCGCCTAATTTGATCAAATGTTTGAGAATCGGCATGCACCCGCTATGGACTGCATGAATAAGCGGTGTGTAACCGAGTTTGCACTCTCTGAGCACCATTTCCTTGCTGATTTTGGATCCCTCCCACCAATCTCGCAAGGTGTAGTAGAAGCCATATCGGCACATAGCACACAATGCCATATCACTGGGCAATAGCTCGGTTTTTACTGAATAGCCGATTCGTCCATCAGGATATCTTCTTCCCTTATCGATGAGGGTCTCAGCGTTGTTAATCCATCGTCTATAGTAATCGCTGCTTTCTTGGGGCGATCCAAGGAATCTTTTGAGAGCCATCAAAAGGTCTGGGTCTGCATTCGCACCCTTTTGTGAACCGATCCATTTGTCATATCGTTCGACGTGTAGAAACCATGCGTAGACAACATACTGCTCAAAGCTCCGAACTGGCCACAACTTTGCCACACGCTTTAATGTCTCCGGCTCAAAGTTCACAAGACAATCAAGTAATATCTTGGAAGCAAATAAATCGCACTCTGCTAGAGTTATGCCCTTTAGCTCAAAGTATTCAGCGACAGACGCGTGGGGCAGTGCCCACACCTTGCGTTTTGGTTCAATAGTTAACAGATCTCGGCAGAGGGATAATATCTGTTGCTCAGTCTGTTTGTCTTTTTGAACCACCATTGACCCTTGTAGCGAATAGCGAATGGCTTCCAACAATGCCTCGGAGCTAAGTGGTAAAACAGAGCATAGCACCCACTTGATGGCACGCTCAGCCAAGGCTACATCGTGTTCGTCATGCTTTCTCATATCATCAAACAGCTGATCGTACGCTTCTGTCAGAGTACTGGGCAGTGTAGTGGCCCAGGATCTGACTGAATCATGAGAGGTGTAGTTATTGAGTCTTTGGACCTGTAGATGAATCCACCGAAACCTGCGCACCAGACTCATGTTAGCTTGAATTACAACGTGTTGTTCTAGATACCTGGCTTACATGGTGCTATTCTTCGACGAAAAAACATTTCGGATTAATGACTGAGTTTCCATTTGACGTTGTTTAAACGACAAAGTCGAGTAAAGTCTGTCCTCCAAGTATTTTTCAATGTCTGCTTGTTGATTGTTGGATTCGATAGTAATTGTAGCGTTAGCTTTAAACGCCTGCAGGTATTCTCGGTCCGGACGACTAGATATAAACAGTTTAACCGGTTTCTTGGCCTTGTCTAGTATGCCAATGAGAATCTCTGCCAAGTTCTGGTTCGTACTCGTCGCGCTGGTCTCGTCCAAAGCATCAAGAATAATGGTTGACTTGGAATAGAGACTGATAAGCTCCAAAATTAGCTCTGTGCAGTCCTTCAGTCCCAGACTCCGCCCTTCATTCTCCGCTACTTTGCGTTTCAGAATCACGCGGTTATAGCCATTTTCGGATCCCTTGTCAAACAGCTGGCGAACAAAACTTCTCAGAATCACCAGCGGATCTTGCAGCGAAGTTGCTGATCGGCTGCAGTAGAAGAAGGCAAATCCTTCGTTACCAGATCCTTCTTCCAATGTCGCCTTGACATACTCAATCGCCCGCCAGGTGAGATATGTCTTGCCGGTGCCAACTATTTATATAAAATTAACAAATTTCTTTAAAGAACATGTATATTATAAAAACAGGACTTACCGGTTCCTTTGAGCCACAATATCGTTGATGATGAAGGTATAGCCTGCCAGGCGCGAAATCCCTCATGCTCTATCAACCAATTACCTGTATCGTCGATTCTCGAATCTGCAATATCGACGTGGCTTTTGCCATGCCCTTCCGGACTGATAAACTGTAAAAGCCCCCGCAGTCGGTCCTCGTCAATCATTTCCCGAATATCCATGACTCCCTCATCAACTCGTGTCAGCGGCGACGAGAGCTTATTCACGCTAAAGAGCAAGTCTCTTGCTTTCTCATCGGCTTGTCTACCGGCAATTTCATTTCGAGAAGCTTCACAGACTGTAACTTCTTGTAAAAGCTTCTGTTCCTTTTGGAACAAATCTGCAACAAGTCCTGTGGCCTGCTCTGGCCTAAGAATGGCATTAAGCGTCTGCTTGGCCATCCCGCCTCCAATCAGGCTATCGGAACGCGTGAGGAGCTCTATTGCCGCGACATATACATCTAAGAGGGCGTCATGCAAGTTTAGCACGGCGTTTTTATCAGTCATCTCTATGTTATACAGTAGCTCGTATAGCTGGCCTCTGCGAACTATGCGAGCGAACCACTGAACTGTCCCGGCAAGGGCTGCCATCTGGTCGCTTTGTTTGACGGGAATCTGGTCTCAATCAACATCTACAGTTATAACCAGCGAATTTAGAGTCGCCATACGTATAGATGCTCACACTTACTTTCAGCATCGCTTTCGCAATAGCCCAAGGCGCGCTGGCTTGTGGCGGCGCAAAGTTAATAGCAATATCGCCCGCCATGGTAAGAAACGCAGCAACATCCGCAATGTATTCACGAAAGACAATCTTCTGATAATTAATATCAATCTTCGAATTGCCGTCTTGATCTGTACATAGCGTGTTGCTTTCAATAAGTCGAATGATGTCCTTAATATGGTCTTCCGGCTTCGCTTGCTCAGAAAGGTCGAGACTGTGTTCTCGAATCCAATTCTTGGTCTCTTTGCTTGACCTTTCGAAAGCTTTGCTCCAAAGACCTTCTGAAGGATCCTGTTGTCTGGCCGCAATGTCCGGCGTCGATACTATGATAATGGGCTTTGACGCTTCAATAGCTGGAGAAGGCGGTGCCGATATTGACAAAGTGTCCAACGATGTGGAAGGCTGCGTTGGTGCGGAGAGCTGGCTTGTAGCTGGCAGAGTACTTGCCCGCGGAGATCGCCCACGCTGCTGAAACTTTTTCCATTTCTTCTTTGACCTCTCAAAGAAGCTCTCTTCACTCATGTTGTCGTTGCATTTGCTGCATGAGAAGTGCTTAAGAAATCGAAGCGGGGTCAGCATTACGGTGAAAGCACAGCCCCCTGCAGCATACCTACCTACTTACGTGCCTCAACAAGCGATTTCTAACCATGAATCATTCCAGGTCGCTATCACAACAGTGAACAAGAGCCTTTCAAAAAGAAACGTAGATGGTTTAAAGGTATAAATAAGAATCGTAAAAGTCAATACTGCTATCAAAAGACAACAAAACCTATTCTAGCAGCAAAAGCCGCGCAAGCACACCATCAAGGATATAAGATGCCTCTAATGCATCCGACATGAAAAGTAAACCTCTCTCCTCCCCCAGAAAGTAGAAAAAAGTAAATATGTATAATAGAAGGAGGGAGAAGAAGCCATTCATAATCCCGGACTTGTGTGTCTTCGTCCAGGAAATGACTCGCAGGTCGAGTTATATATAATAAAAAAAACAACGAATAAATTATTTCACTTTCCTCTAAATAACTTGACCGTTTTCTACATACAACAAGCCCAAAAAATATAGAATTTCAGAAAAAGAAAAAAGAAATTAAAAACAAACAAATCAAGGCCATTTCTAATAATTCTTTCCTTTTTCAAAATTACAGGAGGATCATGCTAGCACCGGTGAGCACGGCAACGCCCATGTACAGAGCCATGGACATCTCGCCCATGCTGAGCAGGTAGGCAGCAGGACGGCCAGCAACGGCAGCGCTGCTGCTGGTGCTGGAACCACCGCTGGTGGAGCTGCCACCGGTGGCACCGGCGTTGACGGGGCCAGTAGCAGTGGCGGCCTGCTTGTTGATGTTGCTGGCGGAGGCCAGGGCAGCAGAGCAGGTAGCTTGGGGCTTGGCGCTGACGACCTGGGCCTGGCTGTTGAAGTCGCAAGCAGTGGAGGCCTTCTTCTGGGAGTTGTAGTAGGTGTCGAGGACGTAGTCGAGCTTGGCGCCGTCGTCGCACATGCTGTAGGCACCGTAGACTCCGCTGGTGGCGTTGCCGTTGATACCGGCGCAGACAGTGGGGTTGTTGCCGCAGATGAAGTTGAAGATGTCACCGAAGTCCTTGGATTCGAGGCCGGAGGCGCGGACGCAGGACAGAGAAGCCTGCATGCAAGAGCAGAGACCAGCGTCGGGGGTAGGAGGCAGGTTGTCGGACGCTTGCCAGGTGGAAGTCAGGGCAGGGCACTTGGCGGCCTCGTTGGTGGGCTTGTAGTCGGCGGAGTCAATACCCTTGGGGTCGACCTTGGCAACCTGAGACTGGAGAGCGCTGAAGTCCTTCAACTTGGTGACGGAGCTGCCGCTAGCCTTGACCAGACCTGTGCAATGTTAGTCATTTCTGTTCTTCTATTTAGTTGAATGTGCACTTGAAACTCACCATAGTCGTTAGCCTCCTCAAAGTACATGTAGACGATACCACCGCTGAAGACAGCAGACATCTCGTCACCATAGAGAGCAGCAGTTTCCTGGAAGATACGGTCGGCAGCGCCGCTGGGCAGGTTGCAGCCGTACTCGGCGAAGAAGACGGGGACAGAGTAGTTGGCGAAGAACTTGGTATCGGTGTCATAGCCAGACTTCTGCATGGAGCTCTGACCGCACCAGGAGTAGATGTTGTAGCCCCAGAAGTCAATGGCGTCGCTCTGGTCACCGCAGTTGAAGTAGTCGGACATCTGGGAGCGGATGTCGACGTCGTCGTTGGCGGCATAGCCGACACCTTGCCAGCGGTACTTCTTGGACTTGATGTAGGCCTTGGTGTCACGGACGGCGGCCTTGACAAAGGCAGAGGCCATGGTGTTGTTCTTGGCGTTGGAGACCTCGTTACCGGCGAAGTAGCCGATGACGTTGGAGTACTGTTGCATCTCGTCGACGACGGCCTTGTAGCGGGCGAACAGGTCGGTGTTCCAGCTGGGGGAGTCGCGGTTGATGGACAGCGAGGGCTCGCCCAGATCGGAGAAGACGTAGATGCCAGCAGCCTCGAGCAGCTTCATGCAGGCCGAGTGGTCGGCCGTGGGGTCGATGGCATAGGTACGGATCACGTTTGTGCCGAGCTGCTGCAGCAGCGGAATGTCACGCTTGCAGTTGGCCTCGCTGGAGAGGGGATCGATGAAGGTAGAGTTGCCAGAGGAGCTGGTGGTGCCGGCCTGGCCAACATCCTGCTGGTACGCAACACCCTTGATGAAGAACTGGGTGCCGTTGGGGTAGAAGAACTTGGAGCCCTAGAGGTTGAAAAAGTGGTCGATTAGCGGTTGCTCCCGAGATTGAGATGCGAACTTGTTGATCGTCTTCTGGGTTCCTTCTCCACGATTTATTCCTACAAGGAGAGAGATCGTTGGTGTTCTGGAGACGAAAAAGTGGCTCACCTTGGCTGTGATGGAGGGAAGATCAGCTCCAATGGCGCTGCTGGCCAGGGCGAGCAGGGAAACGGAGAGCTTGGACAAGCCCATTTTTGCGGATGTGAATGATATTCGGAGTTTTCAAGTTTATTGCTGTCGATAGCGGTAGTTTGCGATTCTCAAGGTGGTTATAGCGACTGTAATTGTTCACGCAAGGGAACGGAAAGAGAAAAGCTGTTTGTGTTTCTAAGGAGTGTCTGAAGCAGCTATCGCTTCAAAAGTAAATGGGGAAAAAAATGCAAAAAAATGCAAATACGTCAAACGAAAGAGAGGTTCTGAATCCAAAAAAGAAAAAAGGAAAAGAGGCGCCGCCAGTAGAGCAGACGGCGAGTGTTTTGTTTGCGCTCCAGGAGAACGGGGAAATTGAGGCCTGCGACAGGCCAAGTCTCGGAACCAGGGGGCTCCCCTGCACTATTGGATCCCTGGTGTGCGCGGGCCCTGGAGCCAGTCCGCTTTGGGGGCCTTCGGGGCCTTTTGGCACTCAGTTGGAGGCGCAGCGCGAAGCTTGTTTCTGGGAGATCAGAGCCAATAGCGGCCTCGTTCAGGGGGGGTTGCTGCATGAGCTAGAGGAATAATGCCGTGCGAATAGCGGCAATACGCTGTAGTATTCACGGTGGCATCAAGTCGGCAGCTAGCAAAGACGGGCGCAAATACGCGCAGCTTCCTGCTAAGCAGCAACGGCATCAAAGCTTCTCGAATGCCCTTTTCCTGCACTGTGCATCGCAGGCGAGCGTCTAGGTGTGGGCCCTGAAAAAGATGGAATAGGGGCCAAAATAGGCTGCCCCACCGTCGAAATTTCCCCTGATTGCAGCCCACACGCACTCACAATGCGCTGCCGATGCAAGGCACCCGCCTCAAGGGCTGGCGAAATTGATTTTGGCGCTGCATCTTGGTCTTCTCTTGTGATTCCGCTGCAGGTGGCGGCAACGGCATAGGCGAGGGATGATGGATCTTCATTATGTCGGCGCTCCTTGCCATGATTATGGGTTCAATGCTCATCTTTTTCTCGAACAGGAACGTCTTTCCTTGTCCTGGCTGCCATTTGGTATTAGTAGGTAGCACTTGGCGGACAAGGCGAGGCAGAGCTGTCGTATCTCTCTTTTCGTCGACGATTATGGCAATATTTCTCTCACGTACCTTATTTTACGAGATGTCAACCGCCGCCCATGCCACTCTGCCACTCTGCCAAGGCGCACCGACGCAGCGTTTCTTTACGAGGTACTTGCATCGCTGCGCTCTCACCACCCAGCGCCAGGTACTCGCCGCAGTGGCCTCCCTTTCGGCTGACGCGTCAAGGGCCTCAAACCCACCTGAATATGAGCACGAGCAAATGTTTTACCTGTACAAGGAACAGCCCGTGCTCGCTTCTGTTTTCTCTGCCTTGGTTGGCCAGCCTTGCCGGCACATGCTGATCATCTACTCGTGGTGTAATTGTGTTCAATTCTACTCCATATCTAGTTGTTTGTCTATACATACAAACCTCAATGATAGTTGGACGTGGACGGGATTCCAACCGACCGACCGGCCGACCGACGGTCAAACCGTTTCGCATCGAATCCACTAACCAGGAACAACCACGATATCCACCCAAGCCCATCGTCTCACCTTGATTATTCCCTCTCTGTGTGCTGTCAAACGAAACCCGCCAGCGATCTACTACCGCTACTGCTTTCCAGTCCAATATCTCGGGAGCCCAGTGCCGTAGCGTAGCGGCGCTCCAAGCGATGGTCCTGGGCTGCTCATCAACCGCCCTTTCAGACTCCAGTCAATGATTCGCAAGGCCCGTCTCCCTTTTCTCGGAGCCACGGCACAGAGAGAAGAGCTCGGATGCGGGCCGTCTGGGAGCCGACTATCCGGGCGGTGCTGCTTCTTGGACTTTTCTTGAGATGAAATGAGCGAGTGAATGTGGCGGTGCGTGTTCGCAGGTAGCACTACACAATATAGGTAGGTGCTAGGATGTAAGATGAGATGCTCTCAAAGCGGCACCAACAAGCGTGTGGCCTGTTCAGCTGCCGTTTCTAAATATCGATCGTGTATAGTGCAACATTGATACTATTTTCGTATCTGTCTTCCCGGCTTGAAGCAGCACCATACATAGCAGCTACCTTAGTAACGCTTGCGCACCTTGTAGTAGAGATCGCCAATGTTATACAGCACCTCGTCCCAGACCTTCATGACGTTCCAGGAGTCATCGCGTTTCTTGTGACGCCGATCGCGGCGGGGAGCCTCGTGGTAGTGTCCGTTGTGGTAGACGAGCTCGGGCATGGCGAACGGTGATCTGCTCGGAAAAGCTGTGCCACGGATATGTGATGCCGAAGGCTATGTTGTAATTTTGTGTTGGATGACAAGAGTTGTTGTTGTTGTTGCTGTTGGTATATGGATACACAGTACGAAGTATGTTTATGTCTTGAATCAGTAGCCAGTTGAAATAAAGCAGTACACTAGCTGTTTTGCGGCGGTGGTTGTGGTGATGGTGCTATTGTCAAGAATTGAAGACTTGATGTAAATCATTGCAGTACCGCTTTATTTAAATCCTTCCAAAAAGCCAAGCCCAAACGCATGATCTCTACATCTGCACAGCCAACTACTTGTCTCCTCATCGAAGAAGATAGTATGCCTGACCGCAACTCTCAGCCATCGACCAGTCATCTGCTGCGGTGCATGCCGCCACCTGAATCCATCGCGAGTCTTGGACTCGGCGCCGGCTGACCGGATCGGGTCCCACCGCGGCCGATCATCTGCACGGCCGAAGGCGAACTCCCATGACTACCTGCGAGTGACTCTGGGGGTCAGGTGCAGAGTTAGAGTCTGTGTGTACATTGTTGTACTACCAGGTGCTTCGGATAACAGAAGCTTCGCCTCGAACCTGCGGGCAGCTTGTAAGGCTTTCTCTACTACCTAAACTCATAGTGCATTCACTTGTATTACTTTGTATCATGCTCGTAGCTCTTTGCAGTCGCCTACCCTGTAACTAGCACATTGTTGACCAAATATTACAATGGAAAGAGGAACTTATGGAGGAATGTTGAAAAAGTACTTTCTCTTTCATTTGCGAAGAAAAGGCATTAGTAGACTTGGTGGTTACGCGGTGTAGCTTTCTTTGGTTGAGTGAAGTGCTATCAATCAGTAGAGAGAATAGCAGAAGCTCTATGCTATTCCGCAAGTCGGCAACAGCTACTCCGCACAGAGCGCAAGATGAAAGATATGATCAAAGCCTTTGAAAAGTCGTCATCTCTGCTCTTTATGCATGCACAGAATCTAAATATTTAGAGATCTTCGAACCTTCCACCACTAAAAGTAGCCGCTACTGGGCATTTGCCTGAAGAACGAACGCTGAAGCCTGCCACCAGCTGCCGTCACTCCAGACTGGAATAGGCGCCCGCCAACCAACAACCGTTAGGATTTCAACTCCAAAAAAAACATCGCACTGCTCTTGCTCCCACTTCACTCTACAACTTTAACCGCGACCACGTCCCTCGGCGCAGCCTACAATGGCGTTTGCAGTGCCCTAGGAGCTTCCGTCTCTGTTTCTCCTTTTGGATAGCAATCTGTCTACCTTTTTGTTCTCAAGCGCTCTCTGCGCAGAAGGTCGCGGGGTCAATCGACGCCGCGCTTGTTAAATAACCTCGAAATCGACTCGTCGCACCTCTCGAATGTCGCTCTTACGCCCGCGTTATTGTATACTATTGTATAGAGAGCAGAAAACTTTGGAAAAACCATAAAGATACAAAGCATGGCATCAAGCGGCCTAAAGGCTTCGATCTGGGCTTCAGCGTCGAGCCGCCCCTCCGATTCTTATCGATTCGACTCCAGGTCTAGATCTGTGCCTCCAGTATCCGCCTCGACGACGACGACGACAGTCCCCAGCTCGACTTCAACAGTTACTACTTCCGCCACCGCAAACTCTTCTCTGTCCCCCGCACAAGCCTTCCAGAGATTCCACCAGACCTGCCAGCGCCTTCGATGGACGGCCATCGACCTCGAAAATTCATACCACCGCGCACACTCCCCCGAACACAGCGGCTTTTCCGCCTCCGACGCCGAGGTCAATTTCAAGATTGATTTTCACGAATTTTACATGCGCATTGAGCAGGCTCTAGTGCTTGTTCTTCTCGTCTACGGCGTGACCGTCCCCCGCGGCTTCGGCGGGCCCAGAGGCCAAGCAACACATAGCTATCACCACAACGTGCTGCTGGCCTTTGGCGAGGGAGACAACCCGCTGCGAAGCGCGCTGGGCATAGGAGATGTCAATTCTGCGCTGTGGAAGGCCAAGGAGCTGCGCAACCGATGGAAAGATGCGGCGGAAGGGGAAACAACGCCGCTGGGCATGTATGACTTGTCATGGATCATAGGACGCATCATTGAGGGTCTGGGTGTCGCGTATAAGATGGCGGCTGAGAGGGTTGAGGAGATAAAGTTGGAGGCTAATGGAAGTGCTGGGAATGGCATGGACGGGCACAACGGCGCTGATGGCGATAGTGCATGGACGTGGATGATGGCGGATCCAATGGACTTGGAGCCGTGAATCTGTCTTTGGTTATTGTTTTTTTTAAGTATATGGGCATATTGGGTAGGTATTTGCGTCTGCTGAACAGGGTTTTGCCTCTTGGAGGAGCGAGCATTGGAGTTGAATCAGGCGAGGTATGCTTGAATGACTTTGCTATTGGGTAATGTTTTGAGCATCTTTCATACATAGAAGAATCGCGCTTACGACGAATATATATACACACGCGTTTATATGACATCTTACAAATCTTCCTCCTTTACCATAAACAACTCTTCTTCCCTTACCATCAAATCGTCATCATCTGATTTCTTCTTCCCCTTCACAAACGCCTTCCGTAGAGCACACTTGCCTGCAATCTTCCCTCCGGCCTTGCACTCGTTACACGTCCTCCCATGCGTCACCATCAACACATGCAGTCCATACTTGTCCTCATCCGGCACTGTTGCTTCCAAATGAGCCTGTGTCTCCTCCCTATTTGCCTCTACTGGCCGCCATCCCAATAGGCCTGATATGCGATAAACGTGCGTATCAACCGCGAAGCTATCTCGCCGTAGACAAAACAGCAAGACACAGCTCGCCGTTTTGGGTCCTACGCCTTGAAAAGAGAGAAGCTCCCGCATGGCCTCGTCGTTGGAAGCATCGAGAAGGTGGTTGAGAGAGTAAATCCCGTACTGGTCCTTTGTCTGGTGCAGGATACTCATGATGACTTTGCTTTTGACGACGCTGAGGCCGCCGGACTTGATTGTCTGCTGCAGCTTGTCGGTGCCGCCTTCGACAATGGCCTCCCAGTTATCGCTCCGGCCATATGTCTTGTCCATGGAGAGCTTTGCCCGCGAGCTGTTCTTGTTGCTGGTGTTTTGGGATAAAATCGTACGCACCAGCGCGTCAAGCACGGATGGAGAATCTCCGCAGCCGGCAACGCTGTTTGGCGCAATGATTTTGTCAGGACGACGACGGTCGCCGTGGATGGAGGCGAGGATGCGATGAGCGAGGAAGCATTCTTGAGGAGTGGGATGGGGGAATGATGGGAACGGTGAGGATTGGGAGTAGGCTGCGAAGGATTTGAGCTTGCGGGCTTGGAGGATGGAGGCTTTTTTGTCTGGGATTTGGGTTATAGAAATGGTTTTGGTGGATGGTTCGGATTTTGTTGATGGTTTTGACGGCTTCGATTCTGTTTTGATGGTGGATTCAGATTTTGTTAACGGTGCTGATGGTTTGGATTCTGTCTTGATAGGTGTGGCCGTGCTGATGCTTTCGGTGAGGCTTTGCCTTTTAATGTTGCGGAGGCTGCGCCTTGGAGGCAGTGATTCTAGAGTCTTTGTGGTCATGGTCAATGGAATATATCGTCTTTGCATTGACGAATGAGTATGGTTTTCTACGGTTATATAACGCAGCGTGATTTACTCTATAATACGACGTGTAAAGACGCTGTGAGATTGGTCGTTGGAATGGTGATGTCAGCGCCTGCGGTCGCCACCGTGACTAAGATCTGCGAGATTGGCTTTGGCTCTACAGATCGGTGGTCTTTTTATAGCTTTTCCGCGACATGCGTCAATGAATCAAGAAATTGGAGACTTTATGAGTTTATTTTTGTGTAATATGCAGCTTGCACTGCTCTTGTAAATATTCTTTTATCATTTTGGCAGCGCTGCTCACTTTGATCGCAGCGCCTTCAGCTGACTGGGGGCGGCTCTGGAGTAGACGACACGGGAAGCCTCTTTATTGCCGGTGCAGATCCGGGGACGCCTCACGGAGATGTTGTATACGGTGTTGATTACACATACTCCATATTGACATACTTAAATGATGTGAGAAGACTCTTACGGTTCGCTTTCGCTTTGGGAGAGAGAGGAGAAGAAGATGACCAAGTTATTTGCTGATGTGGAGAAAGCCTGATTTTCTCTTATACTTACCCAACACTAGGTATGGGGACATGTAGAACAGCTACGAAAATGCTGGAATCGCCAAGATACACAAATTCATCACTAGAATACGCTCCTAACATATATTCTGGATACACGTGCTTGAGAGCCCATCGTCCCATATCAATACGCTCATAATACCGTCGTATCAACGCGCAGACCGGCATCTTCTACATCCCTTGCATGAGCCATCGAGATGAGCCAACGACTAGCCCAAAGTCTGTTTGTGGCTCCGAGCTCCAAGCCACCACGATCCTACGTACCCTAATCAACGTAATTTAGACGGATATTCCATACCCGTATTACTGCTTTAGTTGCTTCCGAGTTAGAGTATGAGCTATAGTCTTACAGGTCGAAAGTTACGTGCTGGCTGAACCCCCTTTTGGTGGCTCAACCCCCTCTTATAACGGACATGTCTTGAATGCCGAGCCAATCTGATAATGACTGACTGACGGGACGGTAAAAAGTATAATTGAGACATGTTGGCGCTATAAAGTACCGCTCCCTCCCCCTCAATCTCAAGAGTAGATTCGTAAATGCGTTTCCCGTCTTTAAGTTCCTTCACTTTGTAGAATTTTCAACGCCAGCGTCTTTCAAAAATGGTCAGCCTCGTCGCTTCAATCCTTTCGCCTCAAAATTGGTCGCCCAGCGTTCTGCTGCTGGCGGCAACCGTCGCAATCTTTGCTGTCGTTCGCCTTTCGAAGCGTGCTGATTTCCATTCCGGCGCAAAATGGACGGATAGAGGCGTGCCTATTCTGGGGTCGCTGCCATTTTATACAAGGAGAGGCGAATTTTTAAGGGAGGGCAAAGAGCGCAGTGCCAATGGGCACTTTAATTTCTTCTTTGGGCCGTATCCTATTGTTGCCATCTCGGGGGAGGCTGCGCGGTCGGCTTATTTTACTACTCGCGGGCTTGATCTGAGTGCTGGGTATGTGCGGGCATAGTTTATGGCGTGGACCTTCGCATCAGTATATATCCATGATAGGATCGAGAAGTGACTGACCGGGCAATAGGTTCAAAAAACTCTTCTCAGCAGGCCCGGATGTGGACAGCCTCCTTGGGCGTAACATGGCCACCTACTTCGTGACGCTGTTTAAGCGTCTCACCGGAAAGGATCACTTGGCAACCTGTCTGCCGTATCTCAACAAGGATGCCCATGATACCTTATCCGCCATCGACACATCTGTTCCCATGGATCCATTCGTGATTCTGCATGATCTCATCTGCAAGATGACGCATCGTACCGTTGGCTGCCACGACGTTGCTGAGGATGCCGAGTTACGGGCGAAAACAATGAAGTACTACGACATGTTGGATACGAGCTCTGCTTTTAGTATCATGTTCCCTTGGCTGCCAACTCCTACGAAGATGTACAAGCTTTGGGGAGGAGGAAAGCTGCACATGTTGTTTCTCAATCTCATTCAGGAGAGAAGAAGAACTGGCCGCAGAGCAGAGGATACCATGCAGATACTAATGGATAAGGGTGAAAGCGACATGGTCACTGCAGCAGTGAGTATCTTGCTTCCACATGTACGATTTGGAGGCTAACTCATGATATGACAGTTTATTATTGGCGCGCTATTCGCCGGCTTGATAAACACTGCCATTCAAGCCGCGTGGATCATCTGCTACCTTGCTTATGATCCGATCTGGTACGCCAAAGTCCAAGCAGAGGTTGACGCAGCCGTTGCCAAACACCGAATCTCTGAGCATCAGACTCCGGCTGACGTCCTGCAAACGCTCTCCATTGATGCATGGGAGTCTGAATTTCCTTCTCTGGACTTGGGAGTACAAGACAGTATCCGGCTCAACCTCATGGGAGCTTCTATGCGCCAGAATATTTCTGGAAAGGATATTGTGCTTGGCGATACGGGTGTTATTATACCCAAAAATGCGTTTGCAGTAAGTTGACTTGTCCGAATCGTTTTGACTAGGAAATTTGAGCGGGCATTGATGTTTTGTGATTGTCATATAGGTTTACAGCATTTCGGATGTTCACATGGATGAGACGGTATACAAAAACCCAGGAAGATGGGATCCAAGCCGGTATCTATCCAATCGAGGAGAAGACAAGAAGAAGCAGCATGGATATGTTGGATGGGGATCTGGATTGCATCCATGTCGTAAGAAGTCTTCTACCTATACTTTTGATGATCTTTTGTATGCTAACGTGAGACACAGTGGGCATGAGAGTAGGCCTTAGCAGTGATACCGACTATTTATCTAGAGCAAGAAGAGCTAACTTGTGATGTATAGATTGCGAAAATGGAACTCTCTGTTTCTACGGCCACATTTGTGGCAATGTTCAACTTTAAAGCGGTCGATAAGCTCGGAAACCCGAGGACTGAGCCGCTGCCGGGTTATAATTGCAATGATTTGCAGGCAAGGCGTATGACTGATACAATCTATCTCAAGTGCGAACCCAGATTTTAGGTAAGAAGAGAATTGAATAGGCGATTAATAATGGCTGGTAAGCAAACATGGACATGGGATGGAGAGAATGGGTTCTTCTATTACTGGCGGGGTTATCATGAGAATGCGTCACAAACATCAGCTGTAGCGTTTTATTCGTTTGAAGTAATGAATTGATTCTATGACATGATAGTGTGACACTTTGATTCGACAAGGTGATGGAATACTTTTTAGGTTAACTATTTTGCTGCAGCTTACGCTCAATCTGCGCGACGAGAGACGACGGCGTCTGCGCACCGGTATTGTAAACTCTCTCCTGATCAAGTAGAGGATTAGCCGCTCTGTCATGAAACAAGTGAAATAGTCATCAGATTTACCATCAACAGCTCCTTTTCGGCGCCCTCCAAGGGCATTGTATTCTGCTGAGTGTCTGTAGTGCCAACGACCATCGGGACAAGGTTGTGCTGCTTGGCGAGGAGGCTTTGGGGTGGTGCTGAGTTTCGCGGTTAGCATATTTCCTTCTTGGCGAATGATAAGCAAATGGTGATTTTATGAGCATCGAAGTGATACCTTCTGTTGTGTTGGTGACTGGACCGGGGGCCGAGGGGCGAGGCTGCGATCTGATTTGAGCTGTGACTTCGGGAGTGGTCATGATGGCGGCTAATGGGGATGAAGGTTCTGTAGGCTAGAAGTATGATATGGCGATGGAAGAGGATGACTGTCAAATGTGTTTAGAATGTTTGATGTTGTGACATTGGTCAACCAGATGACGTAGATGGGCGCTGAGGGCAAGTGCATTTTACGGTCATACCTACACAGGCTGAGGTCTCGTGATTTGATATCTTATTAAGAGCTTGCATCCAAGTAATATCTCTGATTTATTTACTCTTTCTCTATATAGTTTGCAGAAAGAATGAGAATGGTGTGTCCGTTCATGTCTCTTCTTCTGGCTCCGGAGCTGGCAGCTGGCCACTCAAACTTCCCTCCTTTTAACGAGATGGCTTCAGTCTTCTATGTATGAAGAACAAGCAACAAATGTCTCGCAGATTCTCAGACTTGAGTAAGTGAATGCATTAAAAGTTAGTATTTACAGCCTGCAAAGAGAGAGCCACGTGCTTGTCTGGACTGAGGGTTTGGTTTCCAACCCACTACGCTGCGCACTGGTATTGACAGATGCGAACATGTGTGAGAAGATTTCGCATGAGAAGATATTCTTAATGCGCTCCCTGCACGGGCCACATGAGCACATATTAGTTTGTGTGGAGAGCTCAATCGAATCTGAGGTGATTCTATCTTCTCTTCTTTTCCCTCTTCCTCTTATTCTTCTGCATCGACATCTTCCTTTTTTTTTGTTCATCCTCTTCATCAAGTTTATTCAAGTTTGCCACGCAGCCCGATATGGCGTCCGATATCGATGAGCAGTCTCTTCGGTTAGGCATCTACCTTCAGTCACAAGATGCCGTTGCCTTGATAAAGGGAAAGCAGCGAGAGGACGAGCAGCCCCCCGATGTCGAATTCGCCGCGGAGCTCTACAAATTTGAGCTTCAGTCGCTACATACATTCTACTCGGATCGAGCTCTTTGCCGTCGCCTCAGTGGCTTGGGCCTGGAGGATGGCGATCCTTTGAGAGGTCGTGCTTATGAAGCGCAGCCTGCTCCAAGCAAGCCGAAAACTACAGCCAACCAAGGATTTGTATCAGCACGATCCAGCGAAAGTTTCACCCCTGCGACTGCTGCTAGTGCCAGTGTCGTCGCCAAAGAGACAACCAATGAGACGGCCAGAGAGGCAATTGAAAAGGCTCTCAAAGAGGCAATCAAAGAGACAAGCAAAGAGACAACCAAAAAGACAACCAAACGATCCAATGGTAAAGCTGCATCACCACCATCCAGCAAAAATCTCACTTTAGGCACCAGTACCAGTGTCAAAATCGTTGAAGAGACGACCAAATCGCTTGCAAAACCCTAGAATGATGATGCCAAGCCGTTGGTCAACAAGTCTGCACCTTTACCCGAGCCTGAAGTTCAGGATAGCTTGCCGGAAGCACCCAGTGAGCAACGACAATGTGTTGCTTGCATGATGGACGTTACTCGCTTGGAAACAATAGAGTCCCCTTGCTCCCATATATACTGTCACAAATGTGTAATGGACCTCTTCAAGTCTGCCATGGTCGACGAGTCGTTGTTCCCGCCTCGGTGTTGCAGCCAGAATATGCTTCTCGAAGCCACCGAAAGCTTTTTGCCTGCGGAACTACTTGCGCAGTATCAAGAGAAAGTGCTGGAGTATGGTACATCGAACAGGACGTACTGTTCCATATCCACTTGCTTGGCATTCATTACCCCTAATATATTCAAGATGAGGTGGCCACATGCAAAATTCGCCACGGCAAGACTTGTTCTGTCTGCAATGGTCCACATCACCAGAATGAAGACTGCCCCGACGATAAAGAGACGAAAGAGCTTCTCAATGCAGCAGTTGAGAAAAAAGTGGCAGAGACGCTACTCGTGCTGCAGAATGGTCGAGCTCACGACATGATGCAATCATATAAGTAAGCTTTGACTCTTCGACACTTTCCAGGGCTCTATTTAGCTAACAATATGTCAGCTTGTCGCTGCAAAGCCGAATTTTGCTACAACTGCGGCATGCAATGGAGGCAATGTGACTGTCCCCTTTGGCATGAAGGTCGATTGATCCACGAACGCCAATTCTGCTGCCAGCTTTACCACGCCAACTACTAGCACCACCGCCAGTATTACGCCGACTACCGCTGGCAGAGCCTGTCGAACGTCCTGTTTGCAGAAATTGTGCTTGGGAGGTTCTATTTGGCACTTATCAATGCGAGACCTGTGACGAATGGCTGGAGACATTCATATATTCATGTCCTCGTTGTGGAAAGTCGGTATGTCGGAGATGCAGATACAACCGGCGTTGAGCATCTTGCATTGGCTCAGGTGCGATATTGCGTATGCTAGGCTGCGATTTTATACATATTCTCTCGAGTTGGCTAGCGCTTGAATAGGGCTTGAACATTAAGGAGGATGAAACCGTTTATACAAATTTTAAGAGTGTTTATTACCCGTTACCGTCCAATTTATATCCACCAATATAGGTCTCACGATGCCTGGTAGATCGAAGTGAAATATTCACCTTTAGGAAATAGTCCGCCATGCCGAGTCCAAATCTCTCAGCACCAGTTTGGAGACACTCAGATCAGCATATACATTTAAATGATACTGTCTCAAATACAGAACTGTCATCTTGTCCCTTGCGGGGCGCAGACTGCTAGTGCTGGCGCAAAGGCAAATCCGAGACATGCGTATATTGCTCGTATCTGACACAGTGTCGGTTTACCACCATCTATTCAACCGATTACGTTTATTGTTCCAAATGCATCGTTGAATACTGTATATCTACCTAGTTCCAGCTACCTAATATCTGCTGGATGATGTTGAGGCAAAAAATACGTGTAGATGGTGGCGCTGCTGATATCAGTCTCAGCTGAATACATGCACAGTCTATCGCTGACACTGTACTTCGCACTGTGACGTGACACACCCACGTGGACCTTTGGCGACACAAGCCCCATTCTTTAAGCCTCTCGTGGCCGTCCAGCCCTTCCAAAGACCGGTCAGAAGATATGGCTCTCTTATTCCATCTCTTACATTATTCTCATTGTTGTCGAGGCTGGAGAGATCTCGCTTGGTAAGTGAGTTTTGCGCACATTCGCTCTTTGTCGTGGGCTTCTCTTTTTGCGGCTTGCCATCGGGATAAACAGAGGAGACGCCTGATAAGCTGCGAAAGGGGGAATGCATAGAAAATAGGAAGCAGCATTATACACATCATGAAGGCGTCTCTCTTACTGTCGGCTCTTGCGGCGGGATATGCGGCTGCAGACGATGTTCTCTATAGCAAGCGGCTGGCTAAGAGAGCTCTCGACGATGGAGGGCACTACAACATTTGTGAGGCCTTCTTTTTTACTTTTTTTTCCATATAGAATGAATTATACTGACATATCTGTGTATTAGCCTTCTTCCACGTCAACGACGTTCACGCTCATCTTGACCAGTATGTGAAAGCGGGAACAGACTGCACGGATTCTAGCCAAGGCTGCTTCGGTGGCTACGCCCGTATCAAGACAAAAGTCAGCGAGCTGCGTGCTCGGCATCCCAACCATCTGTGGCTGAACGCTGGCGATGAATTCCAGGGCACCATGTTTTACTCGTTTTACGGCGGAGAGAAGATTGCTGAGACGATGAACAATCTCGAATTCGACGCCATGACGCTGGGGAACCATGAGTGGGATGGTGGAGACGAGAAGCTAGGAGTGTTCTTGAAGAATCTGACATTTCCGGTGGTGTCGTGCAATGTGAAGAGCGAGTATCCTGATCTCAAAGACACGATTAAAAACTATCACATTTTCAAGGAGTATGGCTTGGCTATCATCGGAGCATCGACGCCGACTACACCCACGATTTCACACGTCGGGCCCTTGACCAAATTTCTTGACCCCGCTCAAGAGGTTCAAAAGGCTATCTGGGAAATTCGCAATACAACCAACATCAAGCGCATTGTAGCTTTAACGCATATTGGCTACGATGTGGACCAGCAGCTGGCGGCGCAGACAGAGGGACTGTCTCTCATCATCGGGGGCCACAGCCACACGCTCCTTGGAGACATGGATGGTGCAGAGGGCAAGTATCCAACCGTTGTGGAAGATCTTGCCGGTAATGAAGTTTTCATCGTCACGTCGTATCGCTGGGGGGAATATCTGGGCTCCATCGACGTTTCTTTCGATGAGGACGGCAAGGCGCTCATCTACCGTGGCGCGCCAATCCACATGGACAACACGACCAAGGTTGAACCTGAACTCCAGGCCAAGATTACAGCGTGGCGAGGCCCATTTGAAGATTATGCCAACGAGGTGGTGGGAACTACGGAAAACACTCTTGACCAGACGGCCTGTCGGAACGGCGACTGCCTCTTGGGTGAAGTCATGGCCGATGCCGCATTTGAGTATGTCTACAATCTCACCGCAGACTCACGAGAGGAGCAGAGGCCAAGCTTTGCATTCTTCAATGCAAAGGGCGTTCGGGCAACCATTGACGCCGGCAACATCACCCGAGGCCAGGTTATTACGTCGTTCCCATTTAGTAACGCTGTTGTAAAATTGACATACTCGGGTGCCGACCTGCTCAAGATTCTCGAAGGCGCTGTATCCGGAGTAAACCAATTCAACAATGAGAAGCTATCGTCTGGGATTCAAGTATCGCATAATCTCCAGGTTCAATATGACCCGTCAAAAGACCCCGGGAACATGCTCGTTGATGCGAGGATCTCTGGTCAGAGAATCGACCCTGATAAAAAGTACATCATTGTGACTGTGGATTTCGTCGCTACAGGTGGAGACAATATTGTGCCAAAGAGAGATGACTTTGTTGTATTAGATACGCTGGATGAAGTGTTGGTAGATTACATCAAGGCTAGAACGCCGCTGAAGAACGCATTGGAGAAGAGAATAGGCAAGATTGGTACAATTACGGGCAAGGTGCAAAAGGTGTTTTCGGCTTGAATTGCATAGATTAAATGGTTATTAGATATAGATACCTTGTGTTTTTTGTGTCAGCTATAATTTTTCCTCCCCATATTTGTGCTTCTTCTGTACAGACTGATCAAATCGATACGACTCTCAAGTTGACGGCCCTGTACATGTTAGCATTCTATCACTTCCACGGACCTTCTAGTTAACTACCAGATTGACTTAACCGAAAATCTCTCCCCGCAGAGGCCGTACGTAATTTCCTCTCTTGCTGTTGCTTCAAAGGTTTCCTCGGAGTGATGGAAGCCCTCTGTTGTCCACTTGCTGAGGCATAGTCATTGAACGACCCGTCGAAAGATTGTTCAAATGTATAGTAGCTTTCCACCGAAGAATCACCGTCGACTGTGCGAGTCGCTCCATCTGCAGCCCGGCGTTCAAATATGATGCTAAAGACTGTGAACGTGAGACATGCAAAGATGCCGATGCAGATGGAGGAGGAGCCGAGGAAGAGAATAGGCCAGTAGTCGTCAGGAAACATTTTTGTTATTGGTATGGGCTGATATAAAAGAGTTGGGAAACACTTTTGTTTGGACGGTTATGCTTTGCTAGCGGATAATGTAGATGCGATGGGAATAATAGACTGTATTTGTCTATAAGATTGTATGCTGATGGATTATGGAATGCATTGTGTCATCATCACTGCAGCAACTTTAAGAACATAATCACAAACTAGCTGATCACATCTCACTGCCAGGAAATAATGAATCACAGACTTAGGTAGACATCTAAAATCTGCCATATCAACACAGATACTCTTGCAATACAGAGTTTCATGGACAAAAAGGGCAGCAGCATCACTTGGCTTAGAAGGCATGCCCTGCTCACTACGCACCCAACGAGCACAGCGACGCGATAGTGTATTTGGTTGATGCTGCCATATCCGTAGATCTTAAGGACCAAATCAAGAACGAACAAACACTGGAAAAGAGGCCCCCTGCATGTACGAAGTCCTGCTGCTAAGTTTAAATGACTAGGCTTCCCGTTTAGGCAATCCCTACTTTCTGAGGCTGAGGCTATCTGTGAAGACATGAAATCAAAGGAGGAGCTTTTGGCTGGATGACATGTGCCCGATTCAGTGGCAGAAATCACAAGAGAGCTACGCAATGACATGGACATGACACTTGGGGCGGCAGCTAGGTTCACCATGTGTACCTCTTCAGGCTCTGATTCAGATACTTGATGTCTGAACGAGTCAAGGCTTACTGGATTCAAAGTTTCATGTTTCCTTAAGCGATAGCACTAGCAGGGCATGTGTAGATGTAAATAGCTAGATTCCGCCAAGCCATCCAGACAAACAACAGAGTCATGACACATTCCATCCGAGCCCATCCGAGCACCAAATATAGTAAAACAACAAATTAATAAGTGTATCGGAAATCGGGACTCGCGTCCTCCTAGTCATCTCAAGTCAGCCTCTGCCTCACAACCTGACAAGAAAATAGAAGAAAACAGCACTTACATCATGAGCCTCCAGCGCGATTCCCTGCTCATCAGCCTTCCTATTCAACCTCCTGAAATCCAATCCCGTCAAACCCACCAAGATGATATTCAGAAACGCCGTCGTAATGCACGTGTACATGCCCGGCTTGTACCCCGTCGCCGCGTCCTGCGTCCGAAACACCAAACTGCCCGCAATGCCGCCCAGCCCGCCGAAGCCAACGAGCGTGGCGCTGCAAAAGGCGCGCTTCCACTGCCCGCGCACGTTGTTTGCCTGGAACGCCATGATGGACGGCACGTTGCTGTTTGCGCCGGCCGTGACGAGGAAGATGCCAAAGTAGCGCGCGCCGGCGTGGGGCGCCCAGCCCATGATGGGGAGGCCGATGAGGCAGAGCACCATGTTGAAGATGATGATGGGCCCGCGGACACGGAGTTTGTCGCCGGCGTAGGCCGCTGCGAACATGACGATGCCGGCAAAAGCGTAGGGCGGCGCAACGAGGCACTGGGACTCGCCGACGGAGAAGTGCAGTTCTTTGGTGAGGATCAGGGGCAGCGTGTAAGCCAGCGCGTACGTCAGCGTCGTGGTGTTGAAGAACATCATGGCATACGCCCAGACCTTCCAGTCCCGGCCGGAGCCCAGGAACTTCTTCAGGTTGAACGGCGGGACCTGCGTGTCGCCGCGGTCGCGCTGGATGCGGTGCACGATCCATTCACGCTCCTTTTGGCCGAGGAAGCTCCATGTGAGGCGCGTGGAGTCGGGGAAGTCGACGAGCAGCCAGTAGCCGGCGATGCCGAGGGCGCAGGTGAGCGTGCCTTCGATGATGAAGATCCAGCGCCAGCCGGAGATGCCTTCGCGGCCGTTGAGTTGCATGAGCTGTTGTTGTTGGTTGTGAGATTTATGTGTAGACGTTTGGGAGGAGGTGACTTACACCGTAGGCCAAGATGCCGGAAAAGGCAGAGGCGACGCAGCCTACGAGGTAGAATACAGAGTATCGTTTGCCAACCTCGTCTGCACAGTTATACGACATTAGCTGGTGTCAAATAGCATAAATGGGTGCTTTCACTTACATCGTGTGTACCATGTGCTCAGCAAGTACACGCAACTGGGGAAGAACCCAGCCTCTAGAACACCAAGCACTGTTCTCAAGGCTGCCAGCTGCTCAAAGTTTTTCACAAAGCCCATGCCAATCATGACGCCGCCCCACAGGAGAGTTATAAAGGCCAGATGTAGTCGAGGGCCGATTTTGCGGATGAGGATCGTGGAGGGCGGTTGGAAGACGACGTAGGTGGTGAAGAAGACGAGGTTGGCAATGTTCTAGAGCATTCCATATAATTAGCTATGCAAACCCTTCCTTTTCATCAATTGATAGATAGAGACTCACATAGCGGTTGTTGATGAGATTCAGCTCAACGCCCATGCCGGCAATGTTGGCAGCACTCATGTTCGTCCGGTCCATCAGACTAATACAATACATTGCTCCCACGGTAATGACCAGGCGGCGGTCGATGCGGCGGATGATGCTGCGCTGCTCAGCCTGCGTGAAGCCAAAGTCGTCGTCTTCGAGGACCACGACATCGTGCTTGTTGCTCTCAGAGTCTTTCATCGGATTGTCGACGTGGCTGTACTCGAGGTCCTGCTTTTCGGACTCGAGTTGAGGGGCTTCTTTACTCATGATGGCTAAATTACCGCCAATTTTCTAAAAAGAAGAGTCAAAGTTTAGGAAAAAGTCTTAGATGCTGTCTCATTTTAAGAGACACGTTGGAGCAAACTCGAAAACAGGGAGATAGGTTGAGGATCGACATAGTCAATATATACATAGGTAGCGTAGCCTAGACACTTCTTCATCCTGTCCGCCAAGATTAAATCCACTCACTGACCTCCCTGAGTTACCCTAGCTCTTAACCCATCACGCCGCTTGAATCCTATTTTTTTTCTACATGGAAGCTCTGCTCCTATCGTGACGCTACCCCAAAGGACCGGGCTATCTTGGCCAAGCGTCTAAGCCGCATCATGGGATTTGCTTACAATAGTCTAGACACACAACAAACCCAAGAGCCGAAAAAACAACGACCCAAGAGCCGAAATCCTTGCTCTTTTCCCCTCCCTGTAATTCATGCAAGGCCACCAAAAGTGACGAGTACCATCACCTTTCCAACCCATCCCCCGCAAAAGCGAGCCCCATATCGGCCCTTTTTGCCAAGACCTGAAGTACCAAATGAGCGAGATCTTCCCCAGACTTTTTTTTCGCCTTCGGCTGCCCTCCGTTGCTCCCCAGCTGCTTGCTTTATCCACTCAGTGGGGGGTTCTAGGTGCTGTCTAGTCAGTCCCCTCTCTTGGCATATAGCCTATTTTATGCTTATACCAGGGGCTGCTATCTACTCATAAGGCAGAGAGAGGTGGTGCTATTGCGGTATATACATGTACAAGGTTTGGCCGTGGCAAAGTCTCGGGGTCCGACTAGCTCTCCGGATGGATGCCTAGTTTTTGAGAGATGTAGAAAAGTTGAAAGGGGTGGTTGGGAATTGCGGTGAGTGGACGGATGTCTGGGCGAGAGACACCAGTTGACTGCTGGACTATACGGTACGCTCCGACCTTACAGCTCCTTGCCATGATAAGCATTACATGTACTCTTACTCATTACACCCTTATCTTCCAGCGCTCTCATCCCAGCTCTCTGCGTTAAATCTTTCATCATTACAGTACAGACTAGCAACGCCATAGTCTCGTAGCGAATAGCTACATCCATCCTGTTGCGGTAAAATCTTCAAATCGCGGGGAAGATGGAAGCTAAACAACTCTAAATACTCTAGCCAACTACTTTAATTGCTAGTCCTAGGCTTATATACTATCATCAACGGCGTAGGGCGCAGACACTATTAAAGACCCAATGCCTTGTCCAGCTTTCAAAATCCATACAGCCATGCCAGATTACTCCCTGCAAGACATTCCATTACTCCAAATCGTAGCATACACTGCATATGCAAGTCCCCAATAGTCGTCTTGGCTCTTGCAATATTGAAGCCATATTCTCCAACAAAAACGCCACATTATACGGAGTACTTGGACCTAATCATCAACCCCTAGCAAATACCAAGAGTCTAATCACCACTAACAAAAACACCAAGGAGTCTAGAAAAGAAACGAGCGCCCCCCGCGTTCCCCATTTGCCGCCACCAATAAGACGTCGATCCGACTGCAAATTTGCCGAGGCTCACTGCAACCCTCCCCATGTCTTCCCTGCTCTGTCCGGGTCTCCAAGGGCCAGGATTGATCACTCTGTTGTCAGCTTTTCAATATTGCAAGTAAATCTCAATCCCAAAAGCTAATGACATGTGAGGTGGGAGATGCCAAGAATATGCAGACGCCACGGGAAACCCCCGATTCGCTACTGTCTTGCTGACAATCTCTGATGGCCTTATTTCTACATACTTTGCAGACTTACCGTCTCTTTGTGTCAACTGTTGATGGCTCGGTACATGTTTCTCATCGCCCATTTTGCTTTCATCCATCTCGACTACTCTTTAGCCAGCTCCAA